GCAGATAATTCACCACATAGCCACCATTGTCCTCATCAGTTTCTCCTGGGTGGTGAACTACATCAGGGGAGGGACTTTGATCATGTTAGTGCATGATGCCTCCGACTATCTGATGGAGGTATGCCAGCGTGCTAACACAGCAGGAAGAAAGATCACTGATAACAAATTGGTTTTAATGTGCTTTTATTTTACACATATCAGTAATAATGTGAAACATTTTAATTTAGATTTATGGCCTAAGTCAATTAAATAGTTATTTTTGCATTAGCTACAAAACAACACTGCAATTAGCTGTTTTTGAATAAAAAAGAGAGAGAATTTTTTTCTATAAATACCTAGAACAGGGATTTTAATTACAACCACACAGTGGTATACATGATTAAAGCAACATATGTGCTGCCCTTCCTCCTGTCTTCATAACATTTAGCATTGCTGAGTTGCTAAATTATGATGTTAAGGCGAGAGCACTGCACACCTCACACAGTTCACTGTCTGCCCTCTAGAGGAGAACAGATGCAAATGTCACACACTGTATCTCTGTCTGTCCTTCCAGTCAGCCAAAATGTTCAACTACGCCGGTTGGAGGAGAACCTGCAACCTCATCTTTACCGTGTTTGCTGCAGTTTTCATCGTCACCCGCCTTGTAATCCTCCCATTCTGGTAAAAATTATGTTACTTCAGATTAACTATGAGTCGCTGATTGTACCGTATGATAGGAACAGTTGAGAAATTTGTGCAGCATTTCCTTTTTTTTTTTTTTTGCGTTGCACATATTTTGATAAAGGCACAGAATTTTTTTCCAGCAATCATTCTTTATAAAGCGTCCATGTATTTATGGGCATTAAAAAAACTAAATAGAAATGCAGGAAATTTGAAAAAAGTTTTCTTAAAAAAAGGGTTTTATGCTAGACTCGGGATGAAAAGCTATCAGAAGAGAAGAAGATTTGGCTGATAGAAACTGATCTTTTACGTGAACCTTAAAAGGATAAAGTTGCTAATATTTGTGTTCTTCTTATTGTCAACATCCCATGAAAAGTGTTGCCTGAGTAGGCAAAAATAATATCTCTGTGCCCTAGAGCTTACATGTTCTCCAGAAACTATTAACACATATATTACTAACACATCAATGAGACTCAATGAGTTCATTATGATGAAGATGGGCACTATAGTTTATATTCAAACTCACATTCGCAGTCCTTACTATTTCATCAAATTGTATTAATCTGCAGCTGAAAATAGTCCCCATCAAATGCACTATTTACTTCTCTTTGAGTAATGTTTGCTGAAAACTACTGTGCCCAGCTGTTTACTTAACCTCTTTAAAAATAAAACTATATATTTGTGAACTTTTTAGTTGTTGTTGTTGTTAAGATTTAGGTCTTCGTTAGAAACAACTGGGCTTGGGGCTGTGTGCCATAGATGGGATAGGGAAGTCTGGAAGTATACAGAGATGGACTTACACATTGTTTTGATGTTTTCATAGGAGTTTTTGACAATAAGAATAAAAAAGATTAATACCAGCTTCACCCTTTAACTACTACTGTAGATAATACATTCATGTTATGTGTCACCCCCCTCCCATTCATTAAGAAAACAAAAATGACATCTTAGGAGGGAAGCAGCAATGATGTATCAGAGTTACTTGTGCTTGATTTTATTTATACAATACTATCATGTCCTCATGAATATATCGGTATACAGGCAGGAATCACACACTGATTCATTTTGGAGATATTTCATGAATTTGCTTAAAACAATGTGATGGAAACGTAACAACAGACACATTGTGCACAGTCCTGGCCCATCTCAATGGGCTTTTGATGGGGACTGTAGGTGGTTCTGACTGGACTCTCTGTTGTGCCTTTTGTTCTCTCGTCCAGGATCATATACACGACGTGGGTGTACCCCTTGACCCTCTACCCCCCCTTCTTCGGCTTCTACTTCTTCAACGGGCTAATGTTTGTGCTGCAGGCTCTGCATATCTTCTGGGCCTGGCTCATCTTGCGCATGGTCGTCAAATTCCTGCCAGGCAATGTATGAACCGCCACTTTCAATTCCACACCGCCACCACCATGTTACACTTTCACCTCAAACCGAACCACTGTACAAATTTGATCCCTTGTTTTTACTTTCACAGGAGATTGTCGAGGATGAGCGGAGCGACAAAGAGGAGACCGAGTCGGAAGATGAAGACGACCGCGGGCAGAGGGCAAACTTTAAAAATGGCCACGTGCAGAATGGCCACACTATCTTCAACAACAACCACAGTAAAGCGGACTGATTGGACTATGTGAGAGCTGGAGACGAGGCTCTGTGAGGAGTGACTATGGACCCTCATATGTGGCCCTCACCTGAAACCCAAAGAACGGGAGCGTGGCATGTCGAAAGGAGCAGCAGGCAGCGCGCGCGCGCACACACACACACACACACACACACACACACACACACACACACACACACACACACACACACACACACACACACACACACACACATATTCACACTGATAGCAATCCCCTCCTTTCTGAAATCCCGGTAGTCCAGTGTGAATAATTTCACTTTGCTGGGGGTGACGTTAAATTAAATGGAAAGAAAACTCCGATGGAGAACAACAATGATCTGCTTAGCACCTAAGCGGCAGAGTGGTTTTCTCGTTACACACACCTTCTCCTCTTTTCTCTGCCCTCTTGTTTGCTATTTACCATTTTTGTGCTGTCGACCAAGTTGTCACATACCGAATCTGCCTGCTTGTTTCATTATGTTTTGTAGCGGGAAGTGTTTTAAAGACATACTGTGGTTAGGACGGGCATTCCCGTCCTGCACAGTCAGTTTAAACTCTTCTAAGCGTTACTGTCCTTAAACTTGACTGATTTTTGCTTTAAATAACCCTACTGAAGTCAGTGAAATTATTAGGAGGACAATGTCTTTCTATGGACCATAAGCTGATTTAAGTCTATTTACTGAAATCCAGAATATCAGTTAATAATTAATTTGTGCAAGTTAGTCGTTGTGGTTACCATTTTGTCACTTCTGGTTCTTGCCAATGGTTTTGCTCAAATATATTTGTTCCAGTAATGTTTAAATAAAATGGAGGTAAATAATGTTAGTTTTTTTTAACAGTATGAAAAAGCGCAAGAAAGTGCTACATCTGCCTTTGGAAATGTGCCTTTGTGGAAGTTTGTCTTAATTGTTTTGTCTTTTGGAAAGCAGAACGCACAGCTATCATTTTAAATGTTTTGTTTATGGTTAATATCTTTTTAGTTGTATGATTTTATTTTTTCTTCGTATTTTATTTGTTTTCAGTCCAGTCAACTATTTAAATTTAGGAGCAATTTCTTTGAGTGTAACCCAAACCGTTGAGCAACTGCTCATTAATTCTTTATGGACTAGAAGAGTCAATACCATTTCCATTCAGTGTTGTTTTTCCCATCCATCCAAAGATGCACTTTATGGTTTCTTCTATGGATCAGAATTGACTAAATATTTAGGAAACAAGCTTGGTATTAGTGTTCGAATTCAAACCTGATTTTCTTTTAAGTTTAGAGAGGTTTGGAGTATGATTTAAATTGTTTCATATTTATTATCTACCCAAGATTTTCCTCTTTGTGTTGGTTCATTTTGTATAAAGGTAAAAAAGAAGAGTTTAATGAAATCTTAACTAAATAGGTAAAATAATAGAAACACCAAAGTATGGTTTACATTTTGTATGACCTTGTTGTTTGCAAGTGCCTTCATCATTTCAAATGTTTCTGTCCCTTTGTCTTTATTTCTCCTGTCTTTGTGCCCTAACACATCCAACATTGAATGCACTGTAACGCTCTGGGCCTCTAACTTTGCTCTATGCCTCGGCTCATGACGACCAATCACCTGCTGCTCCATCTAAAGAGCTTTGCTTCTACGGAGAGCATTTTTATTCTGCATAACGTGTTGCTGAGATGTAAAATCATAATAATGACGACGATAAAGATAACTGTGGATAACTCTTTTGTCTTTTAAAGTTTCTTTTGTTAATTGACGGGGATATTTAAAGGTTTAGATTAAGATGTTTAACACTTCCTATTAAACAATTACATTGTTTAGCCTTTAAAATATCAGAACACAATGAAAGTGCCCATTGATTGCCCGTTGATAAAATACTTAAGTGAATCATTTATTATTAAATCGGTTTTCCAAAAATTGTATGCCACTTGACTAATTGGTTAATACATCAGTACAGCTCAATAATCCTTTTTTTGTTGTAATGTAAAGTCAGATTTTCTTGTGCAGTTAATATGTAGGGATAAGTTCTGGATTCAGCCTAATAGTTTCTCTTCTTAGTACTAATTATGTGTATGGGTGTCTGAAAGGTAATATATTTAGTAATTCTTATCCTTTTGTAACATGAAAAATATTTTATCCATAGCATTTGATTGTCCTAACTCCCCAATTGTGTGATTCAGAGGGTGTGTAGTCCTTTCTTTGGACTAAAAAAAACAAATGACACATACATAATTCAGGAGCTGAGAATCGTGCCTATACTGATGTAGGCACCGTCCATCAGTTATTGGTTCCACTGGTGTAGAGCAGACCTGAAGGCACCACGGGGCCATTACAATATCAGATGTCCTAGTGTAGTGGTGAGAAACCGAGCAACACCTGGCTGGCACACCTTGGGGAAGCAGACTGTTGCCAAAAATGTCTCTGTGTTTTCACTATTGTCTTGGAGTGAAAGAGTAGCCTGAAAGTTTGAGAACTTGGATCGGGTTGGGCTTTTTTTTCATCCATCCTAAAAAGAAACCAGTTCTTGTTTCCTCCCTGCTTCCTCTGCCACATTCCCCTGCAGTATTTTGGCTGCAGCGTTAGAGGCCTTCTTAGCTAATTGCATATGGAGTGGGATCATTTTACCTCTGTGCTCTGCACTTCAGCCTCCACACTGTTCCTCTCACTGGCAGCATTACTGTAACAATCTCCATTTTAAAGCGGCAGGGTCAATTTCCATCCTGCTCTCGCATCTGGCTCTACAGTTTAATCGCTAATGCATCTCCTGTTTCTCCTGCTCCAGTGTCTGGGCTTGCCTTTCCACGCCCCCCTCCTGTGTCCAGTCTTACTCCTCCTCTTTAAATCTTTGCCTTTCCTTTCACAATAAGTTTCCCTTCCTTCCTTAATGCCTTTTCAGCCTTGTGTAATGTATAAGCTCAGTGTCGCCTGAGGTGCCTGGGTTAATTGTGTTGTGAAGCCAAGTTGGTGACAGCGATGAAGGTCCTCCTGACAGGAGAACAAAAGCTGTGGGGTGTTTGATTCACTTGTGAACTGTGTAGACCGTTATTCAATTCCTGCTTAAGTATTAATAAAGGCTTTACACGCCAGGGGGAGGTCGCAAGGTGCAAGTGTCTGCTTGTGTGTGTGCCGGAGCTAATTTGTGGGCTACTTATTTTTCCTATGATGATCATTAGAAGAGGGGGACAGTAAAGACTCGGGATGCTGATGACTGTTTTATGTTACTCAAGTAGTAGGGAACCTCAGAGGGAACCAAGGCAAGGATGCTATGAGAGCTCTTCAAAGGTTTGGGTGGTGTAAGGACTCTGCAGCAGCCTACACCTGGGTCACTGGTGACAATGTAGAATGGTGAGTTTGATATTTTATATACATTTTAATTTATAATATGTTTCTTCTATTGAGGTGAAAATTGTGCATTGCTGGCAGCTTTTACAGTGATTAAAACGACTTCATGATCCAGTGGCAATGCTAAATTTAATTTTAAACGTGTATAACAATGTAAATAGTAACAGTTTCTTCCCATAGAGTTTTGATTATCAATTTGGTGAGAGCTAATCTGTCTTGTTCAAACCTGAAATGCTTTGTACTGTTTTTCTTTAAATAACAACCAGGCAAAACGATGAATGAATGAATAACTGTGTTAACTTGTCCTCTGTAAAGACAGTAGAGCTTCACACCAAACTAATAAATGCAAATGACTAATTAGAACAAACTATAATAAAAGATATCTATAGGCTCTTTTCCTATATAGGTCCTAAGCAGAAGATTATTAGTCTATTATTTTATTTGTTGATCAACAGAAAATTAAATAGCAACTACAGTATTTGGATCAATTCATTTGTAAGTAATTTAAACAAAAACACCAAACATTGCAAAGCACCTTCCCAAATGCAAATATTTATAAATAGGCCTATAGTTTTGGCATATTGTTTTCTTATGAGATAATAACCTGAAATGTTTTCCCATTGGTTGGACGAAAAAAGCTATTTAAAAGAGTTCACTTAAGCTTCAGGAAATTAGGATCTGCTTTTTTTTAACCAATTTTTAACAAAAAAAAAAAAGTTTTCCAAAAATGAAAATAACTCGTAGTGTTTTCATATGATGATCAAATCATAAAGTTTTGATCATCAGTTTGGTGAGAGCTAATCTGTCTTGTTCAAACCTGAAATGCTTTTTTGTCTTTAAATAACAACCAGGCAAAACAATGATGAATGAATGAATAACTGTGTTAACTTGTCCTCTGTAAAGACAGTAGAGCTAAAAAGACTAGTTTATTATTTAATAGTAAATCAAAAGAAAGTTATCCAGCATTTATTTTGATAATCGATTCATTATTTAAGTCATTTTTTAAGCAAAAATATCAAACTTTCTCTGGTTCCAGCTTCTAGAAAATTGACCATTTGTACTGGTCTTTGTTTTATGTGATAGAAAAAGGTTTTGGACTGTCAGTTGCACAAAATAAGCTATTTGAAGACAATACCTTGGCTTTCCAGGTAACGTTGTGACGGTAACAGACCAAACGATTAATCATTTAATGCACAAAATGCTCTGAAGATTAACTGGTTATTGAATTAATTACAGTCCTCAAAGCCCAAGCAGCAATATTTCCAGTCACTGGATTCTGTGACATGATGTGTAGAAATCATGCAGTGAGACTTTAAGTGTAGCTACCATTAAACTGCACAGGTTTTAAACATCAAAGTTTGTGTACAGGTGTTGGGGACTACTGCTGCATTATCAGATAAATTGCCTCAAATGATGTCACTTGAGTCAGCGTTGGTTTGGTCTGAAGACTACAGCTTTGAAAAAGAAAAAATATCTGGTCAAAAGATTCTCATCTCTGCTTAAACCTGAGCCGCTTTGGTCAAATTGAATTGTGGGTAATGTTGGTGCCAAGTTTTGAGGAGGAAGAAGAATGTGTGGAATAAAAAAGCAAAGATTTAGTGCAATGTTAAATCTATGGAGGAATTTGTTAATGAATGCCAATATCTTGTTTTTTGAGGGTTTTCGGGGGGGCAGGGTTTTTTTTGTTTGTTTTTTGACAGTGAAATTACAGACAGCAAAGGAGTAAAGAGAGAGAGGTATGAAATGCAACAAAAGGGCATTGCAGTAACATGGTATGCATCTTGAACACTAGGCCACCAGGATGTTGTGATGTAACCTCTTTACTCTTTGTCTGCCTTTCTGATTTATTTAGTATTTCTGGCATCAAGTCATCACCATTATCTCAACAGCACATGTACACACAGCTGTCCCATTCCTAAAGTGGTGCTGACAAGGAGAGGAATCAGACGGATCAGAAGTCGTCATCGCCCACATGGACCAGGCTTCTCACCCTGCGAGGCAGTTTGAGGTGGATGTGGACCTGGGGTTTGCTCTCTTCTTCCTCTTCCTCCTGTGTTTCTTCCTGCTGGTGACGGTGGTGCGCTGTGCCCAGACGGTAGTGGATCCGTACGGCGCCATCTCCACCTCCACCTACCAGGAGGAGCAGATCACCTGAGAGAGAGGAGGGTGAAATCATTAACAGGTTTCTGCAGGACTCAAAGATACACTGTCACTGCTGTATAAAAAGGCTACATACTTTTAGACGGTGCAATTTTCGAGTCAGGCCACTTCTGGACAAAAACAAATTCACCATTACACTCTCATGGAAGTCAGAAAACATGCATGAGGTTGTATTTGAGTGTTTCTGACTTAAATGCTTTCAAAAATCCATTTGGATGGATTACTGAATGGATTTTGTGATTGAGTTAGAGCATCTATAACTAGGGGCCTATCGTCTCATGATCATCATCTGTCTACGCAGCAGCAGCTACTACAAGGGCTGGGCGATATGGCCAAAAATGATAATAAAAAAAAAAAAAATAGTCATGTCAGTTCAAATAGATAATTATCATGATAAATGTCAAATCATTATTTCTTTTGAGTTTAAAGGCTGATTTTTGAGTGAAAGCTGAAGAAATGATTAATTGTGGTTTTAAACTTTTCTTTATGGTCAGAATAAACACTTGATGCCAAACAGTGGATAACTTCATAAATTCATAACATTTATGATAAAAATCCTTTCTCAACAAATATGCATGTGTAAATGAAAGTTATATTGTTATTGAGGAAAATTACATGCTGATAATTATCATTCATGTTTTATTGCCCAGCCCTAGCTGCTACAAAGAGACATGAACCATCCTCCTCACTACTAAATTGATCTGTGAAGCTATCCTGCAAGGCTTTGGGAAATCCATCCATCCATCGTCAACCGCTTATCCTGCGTACAGGGTCGCGGGGGGCTGGAGCCAATCCCAGCTGACATCAGGCGAAAGGCAGGAGCCACCCATAGACAAACAACCACTCAGAGACATGCAAACTCCATACAGAAAGGCCGGGGCAACCGGGGTTTGAACCCACGACCTTCTTGCTGTGAGGCGACAGTGCTAACCACTGCCGCCTGCTTTGGGAAATCCTTCAGATACAATTTGAGAGAGGAAATATTGGGACTGCAGCGCTCAGACAAAGAACTCAAGTCTTCTTTTGGAAGACTGGATTGAACAATTAACAAATGACATTGCTTTTATTTTTTTGTACAATAAAGTATGTACCATGTGGTGTTGCCTGTGAGTTTGTGAGATATATTTTTTAGTGTCCACTAACAATCAGAAAATTAAGTGTTTTGGTTTATAATCCCGATTCACACTCCACACCAGTTGGTGGCGGTAATGCTCCGTTTGTTTGTTGGCCGTCCGCCAATACAACAAGTAGAAGAAGAAACAGGGCGAAAAAAAGCAACATGAACAGGCGTCTAAAATGGAGGGAGCTGTGCTAATTGTATTTGTTCCTTAGTGAGCTAATATAGCAAGTATTTTCCCATAATTTTCATACAGTCGTGATACAGAATCAAGAACACGGTTTAAGTGTGTGCTTAAACCTGTCGTGTTATCCGTGCTAGCTAGCCGGCTCCTACTCTGTATCCTGTTGTCTTTACACAGTCTAGGCTAAGTTAGTGGTGCTAACCTGATAACGTTAGCTAGCTTCAGGTAACGTTAACGTTATTGGCTAACTTCAGCTTTAACTTAAGTGTCACACTAAATAATTACTTGCATTGCAGTGTGATCAAACTTTTGTGTTTTCTGAAACAAGAAATCGGGACACAACAACCGGTAAGCTACGAGTTTTGGTTACGTTACGCTGATGTTATGCTTCGTCTTATCTGTAGAAAGACTAACTTAACTTGCGTGTTCAATTAAGTTACTAAACTTTCTTATGTTATCAGTGTACTAGCGTAATTTCTGACCTTTAAGTAACGTTCATAAAGAGAAGTCAAAACACGGCACAGCTCCTGTAGTCGTCGCATTTGACAATGTCAGCTGAACGCCTATAAAAACAATGCCCACGTCCTCATTATGACAATTACAGATTGAACTGAAGATTTATCTGCAGTTGTCTTTGCAGTTAACACACAACTGTTATAAGAAGTTACGGTTACTCCCAAAAAAGCATATTTGATATTTGCAGTTAAAGCTTTTTTAATATTTAAACTTAAATTTTAATTATCATAAAAAATAAAAATATTATAATAAAAAATATTATATTACTTATTATACTTATTATATATTTAGTACTTATTATAAAATATCAACAGGAGCAAGTAGAAGTGTCAGTAAATAGCACGCAATGCATGGTAATTGTTATTCTAAAGTAAGTCTACAGTCATAATTTTTTATAAATACCACAAACTTAGATTTTAGTGGTACTAAAGGCACAGTGCCTTTTCCAAGACTGATGACAGCAAGACTCATACAGAAACAAACAAAAGCACATCATGGCACAAATTAAACAGATTTATGACAATATCAGAAGATTTAGTGAACATGCCGATTTAATGGTCAGCCTCCAGTCAGGGCTGGGCAATAAAACAATAATGATGATCGCAATATGTTTTTCCTCAATAACAATATAATAAATGTTCAATATATGTCAATAAATATTTGGTTTAATTCATTTAATTATCAAATTAGCACTTAATTGTTCTATTAAAATCTTTATTTTGTTTACAAGAAGAGGCCTAAAGAAAGATTAACTAATCATATTTGTTGGAAAAGATTTTATCGTAATAGTTATGAATGTTCTACCTCAGACTTGTGAAGTTATCCACTGTTTGGCATCAAGTGTTGTCACATTCTGACCATAAAGATAAGTTTAACCACATAAGTAACCATCTGATTTCTTCAATATTTACTTTAGCAAAAATCTGCCTTTAAATGGGAAATAAATAATGATTTGACATATATGGTGATAATTATCGATATCGAATGATCTGAAATGTTTTTATTGTGATAACATTTCTGGACTTATTGCCCAGTCCTACCTCTAGTGTGCAATCTGAGGTCCTTACACCTGGCACCACCTCGTGCACTCGCATGTTAAGAGGTATATTCTGGAGTTGAAACTCTTATTTTAAGTCACACATTTGTTTTGCAGTGGTTATGGAGGTTGATCCGATGTCGGCGCTCCAGGAGCCTGTGGAGTGGCAAGAAGTCAAAATAAAGACAGAATCTGATGATGAAGAAGATGGTTATGGTAAGCACATTATTTTGTTAATTAAGTTCAACCTTATTATCCAAAAAGAACACAAATAAGTAAGATAATATATAAATGCACCTTTCCATAATAAATAAATAAAGCTGTTAATAATAGGTAAGCTAAAAATATCTAAAACCTGCTGTCATCTAAGTCATCACCTGTAGTTGCAGTACAATAATATGAGGCCAAATTACGTTATTGTAATACCTTTTTAAAAACCTGCATCATGCCTTCACAGAGGGATTTGCTTATTGAGTAAAGAAATGGAGGTGGGTGGTGCCATCTACTAACTCTAATGCGTCTTCCTGATGGCAGCAAATTATTATCAGAAAATGGTACATGTGAAGGATCATCTAAGATTTTGTTAGTATGTTTGACGACATCACTCTCAAACATAGACTAGAGTGACTGCTGTAGATCCTTCATGCCCATCACTTTCATGGCAGTTTTTGTCATGTTATGAGTATTGATTTAGAACGTACAGTAAGGCAGCCAAACCAGGCGCCATGCCATATTTTACGATGCTTTCCATCACAACCATACAAATGAATACTCCTAAGGAAGTTAAGTCTTTGGGCTATTTTGACACACAAGTAATCAACCTGGATGCTCCAGCTCAATTTGTCATCCACCATGATACCCAGATATTTATAGGAGGACACGTGTTCAATAACACTATTAATCAAGATCACAGGGTCATGAACACACACACTCCTGGGGTCAAAAATCGTCTCCTTAGTTTTGTTAATATTAAGTTGAGATAGAGGCTGTCACACCAGCTTTTAAAGGTGGCGATCTCCCTGTGGTACACAGAGGGGCAATCACTGGCATGCAGCAGACCTAATAAAATGGTGTCAGCTTAAAACTTTATGACATGACAGTTAGGCTGTGTGCTCCTACATTCGTTAGTGTACAGTGTAAATAGAAATGGGGAACTAACAGTCAGTCCAAAGTATGGTACTAACAAGCTGAGAAACTGGAATCCGCAAATATTGGGCCTTTTTACTTGAAAAATCACTCAAAACAATGAATCAGTTATCAAAATAGTTGATTATTTTTTGTTTTTTTGCAAGCCACAACTTCACCAATGTTTTTTATTTATTTTCAGGAAATATGTCTCATTACCCGTATGAGTCTGTTCCCTCCACAAGTGAAACTCTCATCAAGAGAACAAAATTGCAGAACGATTCTGACTCCCTCACTGTAATAAAACATGCAGTGGTGGTCTTGACCAGACTGCCTGAATATAAGATCAGTGCTCTGCGACCACCAACGCCTCAGCAGTTCTACAGTGAAGATGACTCCCTCAGCAGCTCTGATTCTGATATGCAGTGGGAACCGGGGGAGGGTTCTAGTGATTCTGACTTCTCACTCTCAAACAATAAACAGAAAAGTGGAAAAACCAAGAATGACACAAAGGCACATGCACCACAAACCAGTGGTAGAAACAACAACAATGGTAATGCCACAAACATATTTATTTTCCTGAAAACTCCAGTCATTCATATTTTGCAGTCCCTCAAGCTCAAGTTCTAAAATACACGTTTTGTGTTTTTCCACAGTGGTAGAACCAGGCCCTGTAATAATATCAGCAGCTTTTGCACATTGCTCTCAAGAAACCACAAAGGTCCGTCCTAACTTGCCAGAAGAAGAGGTCAACATGGGCATGATGGTCCTGGCCAGGAAGAGGTCCATGAGATGGCAACGGGGGAAAATAGTAGATATTGTAACAAGGGGTAAAACAAAATGTCTGGCTTGTCCTCCTGTTTCAACTGGTTTTAGTAATTTCACTAAAGGTAACAGATGTTCAACATTATCAGCTCAGTGTCAGTTGCCATTGTCTCTAGTAGCCTAACGAAGAAGAAACAACACAGTGCAACATAGGAACATAGAAATTGCAGAGCTACGCAGAAACAAACGCACAAGTATAAATTCTCAGGACAGCGTGGCTATGTGCGTAAACTTGATGCAGAAGTATAAATTGGCCTTAATGCGGCAAAAGGTTAATGTATTGGTTGTACTTTGTACAAAGAATATAGAGGTTTTTGAAAACTCTGATGTATAATTACTAGGTCTAAAATGATAAGTAAATTAATTGATTATTTGATTGACAGACATTTTATTTTTTTTATAATGAATTAATTATTGTAGTTCTTTACCAAGCACGAATGCCAAACATTTGCTGGCTCCAGCTCCTGAAATGTGAGGATTTACTGCTTATCTTAGTTTTTCTATGCTTTTGAAATTTTGAAATCTTTGCATTTGTTTCACGATGAGTATTTTACCAATCTCTCTCATTGCCATTTTGGTATTTGCAGAAGATGGACGGTTGAAGTACAAAGTCAGTTTTGAAGAAAAGGGGAGGAGTCTAGTATCTGGCCACCACATCGCCTTTGACAGCACACCGAAGCTGGAGCAGCTGTATGTCGGGGCTCGTGTGGTGGTCAAGTGTCAGGATACCAGTTCCCGGTTTTGGCCTGCTATTTTGGCAGAGCTCCCCAGCCGAAAGAACCGCTTAAGGTGTGTGTTTATCCCTACAACCACCAAGAAACTAATACCTCACAATTTCCTACAGAAAAAAATACTGTAGTAAAGGTTTGATTTGATGTAAGACATATTTTAATTTTCCAGGTTCTTGGTCTTTCTGGATGATCACATACCAACTTATGTTGGTTTACCTGCACTTCACCTGGTGTGCAGACCACGTAAGTTTGGCTGTTTTCACATTTCTTCACTCCTAGGGCTGGGTATACCTCAATACCTTTAAGTTAATTGATCGAAATTCCTTTTGTTATGTGCCTGCAGGCTCTTGTAAGCCTAGCCCATGCGTGATTTTAACAGCCTCTCACCCTCTGCTGCTGTCTCAGGCATGTTTGTCACTGTTCCAAGTTTATCACCACAAGCTTGGCTTTGCGTTTGTTTCATCTTCTGATAACACTACTTTTCAATTTACTCAATCACTTGTCAACGATCGATCACTGTATTCCATTATATCAATTCAACACTTGTGGCGCAACAGCACGTCAGCTGATTTTCCTCACAGAGCCTCCGGCTGCTTTATATCAGATGTAATCCGTGTCATCAGCTGGATTTGTAGGTTCTCTTTCTTCGCTTTAGTTCAGTGACTTGTTTAAGGCGACTCCTTACTCGTTTTCTGCTTCTTATTGTCGTCTATTTGGAGGTTTGCGACTCACTACTATTTGTAAAAGCACTCGTGGAGATCTTTCAATTCAGTTCTGCAAGATTTATTAATCCAAAGTTAACAAAATGTATTCTCCATTGTTTACTTTCAACAAATGAAAAACTTAAATTTCTTTTTCACAATTCACAGTGGTCACTAAACTATTTCACCCCTCCTCTCTTATTCAGATACAAAAAACTCCTAAGCTGTCGCGCTTTCTCTGATACTATGTGTATGGATGACCTAATTAGGATGTGGCGCGATCTGATACAATTTTACAATATTTTTATTTAACAGTTATTTCAAACAATAAAAATGAAAAGAAAATAGATTACATTGCTTGTCCAATCTCAACAATACCCAGATACCCAGCCCTATTCACACCAAAAGCAGAGCAGCCTATTTAGTTACTGTAAATTCTCAAATCATGTCCAGGGCCTTTAGTTAGCTCTACCTCAGAGAGAAAGATTAGTTTATGAGGTGTATGTTACTTATATAAAGTGGCTTTATTTACAGTCCTGCTTTCGTGTTTTTAAAAAAACATTTTTTATTAAAAATTGTGTTGATCACGAGACGAGACTTGTGCAAACTATACCAATACACTTATACTATTTGTTGATCATGTTGATCCAAAGCGACAGTGCAGCAAGTGCATACAGGTAGAATCACAGCTTCACAATACTTGCATGTGTCGGGATGCACAGTTTGCACATTTTACTGCCGAACATTTTAGACAAGTGGCTTTTTTTTTTTTTTACAGTGGAAAACGTTTTGGACGAGATTCCAGACAGCCCTCACAAGACTTTCATGAATCAGTACCTGAAGGACTGGCCGTTCCCACATTTAACCCAGTACAGGGTTGGACAGACCCTTAATGCAGAATTAAATGGAGTCCAGCAGAGGTGTGAGGTGCAGGTGGTTGACAGCAGCTTGATACAGGTTGTTTTTCAGGTCAGTATCACTTAATAATGCTGTTGTTTAAAGTATTGATGCTATGTTTGTTTAGATTTCTGTGGTATAATAGTTTTTTTATGTCACACGCAGGATAACCAACAGAAGGAGTGGATCCATCGAGGCTCCATACGACTGGAACACATGGCTAGATTTTTGGAAAAGAAAGAAGCGGAACAGCATGATGATGATTCTGATTAAAGCCCACAGACACAGGTGAATTATAATGTTGACTCTGGAATACAGAAAAAAAGAGTTCGGTAATTTCCCTCATGATCACCCCGAAGTGATGTCATTGGAATTTTTTAGGGAAACATGAACTGAACCGTTTCAGCCCAAAATACGGTATGCAGTTAATAGATGAGTGCACATGAATGACTGAAGCCTGACATTTTTTCCAATCTTATGGTCTTTTTTTTTTTTTTTTAACTTTATTGTACAAATGTGCAGATATATTTAGTTATAGTTTTCAAATTAATGTGTGCATCATTTATGCATTGAAAACATACTGAACAATGTAAATTTTCGACTAAATGTGAATTTCTTTAAAACAACTTTCGGCATCATATTCAGAGTTCAATTTCAATAAAGCAAGCTGCTGTGGGATGCCCCAGTAGCTCAGCTTGGGTCAAGGCTTAGTCCTTACTGCAGTGGGCTAGGTTCAAGTCCAGCCGGGGCCCTTTGATGCCTTTCTCTCTCTACTATTGCTATGAAAAAAGAAAACATGTCAAGTCACTTTTATTTATATAGTCCAGTGTCACAGATCAGTTTGGCTCATGGGGCTTTACAATCTGCACCTAGACCCTCAATTCGGATGAGGAAAAACTCCTCCAAACCCCTTTTAAATAAGGAAAATGGAAGAAACCTCAGGAAGAGCAACAGAGGAGGGATCCCCCTCTCAGGACAGACAGACATGCAATAGATGTCGTGTGTACAGAATTGAAAGTCATAGTAAAAGATGAGTGAATAGGATGGATCCAGAAGGACAACTGAGTGTTAATGTGATCTGAGACAGAACCAAAACAGCAGAGGGTCAGCGAAATGGTCGCTGTCAAAAAGTTTGCAGTATCTTAGTTGAATTGTTGTCTGCAGGACAAACATGGACTACAAGTACTGATATTAATAGATTCATTAAGACTGTGGCTGACCAGCCGGATATAAAGTGGTAATAAGTTGAGGGCTGAAGTCTGGAACAAAAAGTACTAAATGAAAGCAAAAAGAATAATTTTCAGATTCAATTTAAAGGCCTCAGAGTCAGACTGTCAGAGAGACACTGTAAATGTTTTTTGTTCATGCCTATTATCTTTTCAATTGTATGATTTTTATATTAATATGTCCTGTTTGTTTTGAGTCATGTTTAGATCTGGGAACAAATGGTTTAGTGCAAAGTTAGTGATTCTTTTTTCACATGAGCTTTAGGGTCACCAGCTTTCTTATTCTTTCGAGTTTTGCCCATCTTTCTGATAATCAGCATTTTCAATAAGGTGTTCATTTATTTCATTGCTTTGTATAGTATTCTGTGTTCTTTTGTTTCATTTTGTAAGTAATAAAATTAAAAAAGAAAACTGATTTCTCAACTTTGTTCAACGTGGCTTTTTTTCCTCTCTGTGCTTGACATGTCCAACGCTTTACCGAATATAACATTACTGTTAAATAAACGCATCTAGAAGACACAGATGTAGCTGAGAGAACACTACTGCTCCAACCTAGTTAAAATGGTGTGTACTATTTTACCAATAAGGTGGTGTCAGTCAGAGCCTCTATTACCCCCACGGCCTCTTACTCAGAGGTCCCTCACCACCAGAGTTTTAACTAGTTTTATCCCATCAACTTGTCTGAGCTTTTCACAAATGCGAGTGTCCTCCAGCCCACTTGATGTAATACCTACAAAGTTTTTATTGAAAGTAATGGATTCTGTTGGGCCCCATTTGATCTCTGTTTTTAACAGCTCCCTATCTACTGGTTGTGTCCCTGATTATTTTAAAACGGCTTGAGTGAACCCGCTTTTAAAGAAATCTGGTTTAGATCCCTCCCTCCCACAAAATTTTAGACCCATTTCAAAACTGCCTTTTATTGCAAAGATTCTAGAAAGAATTGTGTCCAAACAGCTGCTCACTGTACTGGACAATAACAAAATATTTGAAAAGTTTCAATCTGGTTTCAGGAAGTACCACAGCACTGAGACTGCCCTGATTAAAGTCACCAATGACCTTTTAATGTCTGCTGATGAAGGTATGTGCTCAGTCCTTGTACTCCTGGACCTTGTGCTGCTTTTGACACCATTGATCACAACATCATGTTAGACAGACTGAGGCACTGGGTGGGGATCTCTGGTACTGCTCTAGAATGGTTTTCATCCTACCTGTCAAATAGGATGTTTTGCGTGTCTGTAAACAACTATGTCTCTTTGTTCTGTCCAGTTAAATATGGTGTGCCTCAGGGGTCGGTCTTAGGACCCATTTTGTTTTCCTAGTATCTGCTTCCCCTTGGACATATTGTCCATAAACATGGTACTTCTTTTCATATTTATGCTGATGACACACAAATGTACTTGCCCGTCAGATCCACAGATCCTGGAATGCTGAGTTTACTTACCGACTGCCTTTGTGAAGTTAAAAAATGGATAATTTCTCCAGCTGAACTCACAAAACAGAAATCCTGGTCATCGGGTCCCAGCAGATGGCAAATACTGCCATCTGCTGGTTCCGTAGTAAATCACATTAAGCCTGTTGCAAAGAACCTTGATAGTAATTTAAATTTCGAGCAGCACACCACAAAGCTTGTTCAATCATATTTTTATCAACTTAGAAATATAGCAAAAATTCGATCTATGTTAACTTTTAAGGACACTGGGACCATTTTACATGCCTTCATCTCATCACGCCTGGATTATTGCAACAGCCTTTTCACTTGTTTAACCCAAAAATCTATTGATCGACTCCAGACTGTCCAGAACTCAGCTGCCAGGCTTTTAACCAGAACAAAGAAATATGACCACATCACCCCTATCTTAGCTTCATTACACTGGCTCCCAGTATGTTTTAGAATTGACTTTAAAATTCTATTGATCACTTTTAAAGCTCTTCATGGCCTCTCGTCTTGTTATATTTCTGACCTTTTAGTCCCATACACACCAGCACGTACCTTGAGATCCTCGGGCAGAGGGCTGCTGTCTGTTCCAGAGTCTTGACTAAAGGGGACAGAGCGTTTGCTGTCAGGGCCCCGAGGCTCTGGAACAGCCTGCCCGAGGAAATCGGGTCGGCTGAGTCAGTGAACTCTTTTAAGTCCCTTCTTAAAACATACTTTTATAGGAGAGCCTTTCCCGATCTTATTTGACTTTATTTTATCCCCTTTATTTTATTCTATTTTACTTATCTTATATTTATCTTAAACATGTATTTTGGACTTTTCAATGTTTTCTTGCTTTTATCTTGTTTTGTTTTTGTATTATTGTCTCTTGGGTATTATTGTCTTTACACTTGTTAAAGCACTTTGTAACTTGTTTTTGAAAAGTGCTCTACAAATAAAGATTATTATTATTATTACTAACTTTGTAGAATACTCCACCATGCATGGCAGAAGAGGTGTAATAATACACTAGTGTACTATTACGCTACACTATAGGAATGTATAATGACCATACATACCATCCATCCATCGTCAACCGCTTATCCTGCGTACAGGGTCGCGGGGAGGCTGGAGCCTATCCCAGCTGACATTGGGCGCAAGGCGGGGTAGACCCTGGACAGGTCGCCAGTCCATCGCAGACCATACATACCAAGGTGAGCAATTAACTATCAGAGTAGTAAAGTGATTGGCTTTGGAGTGTAAAAAGATCAGCTTGTTGAAATGATAGTAAACTGAATGAGACACAAGAACAATTTTAATATTATCATTTTATTTAGATTTAACAAACCAAGGGTGGATAAAGGAGGAATCATTAAATGACACTTATATAAAAAAACATTTATAAGCAATATACTTGATTTGTTTATGAAGAGCTCTTGAAATTAAGTCATTGAGGTTACCTTTCACATTTTGGGAACCCCTTGTACAGATTGATTGACAGTTAAAATATTTGTCAGATATTTTAAATTATTGTGAATTGAGGGGATAGTCATGTAGCCCCTAAAATCTATGCAATTTGTTAGTTTAGGGACTTTGGACAATGTTTAAGGGATTTTTCACCTTTTCTAATAAACAAATAAAAAGGATCCCTGGGTTACTTATATAAAGGTATATGTTTTCTAGGTATACAGCCATTTTATTAAGCACACCTAGCTATAAACCAGTGCACACCACTGCACATTGCAGTAAAACCCATGGCATCTTCATGAAGGTTATAATCAGTTTTTATTTAGACTGTTTTAAAGAGGTGGGATTAGTGGTGGAAAGTATCAAAATACATTTACTCAAATACTGTATTGAAACTGTTAACTTTTCTATTTCTACTCCACAACATTTTAGAGGAAAACATTGTACTTTTTACCCCACAACAGCTATTGGAGTCTCAGAGATTCTCTGGAGATGATCAGAGGTCAAAGCAATATAGTTTTTTAGAGATAAACCCAAGCCAGCACTGGAACCAAACTGAAAACAAAGTGCCTTATATACTGCAGCCTTGATTCTCCTCCCTTCTATTTTTTTTCTATTTTTCTAAAATGAACCCACCATTTCCCCAGAAACACTATTTTCATATTTTCAGCACATCATACTATTGGCTTGTTTTATTGGATTAAGAAAGTCCCTACTCTATAAGTCTGGATATGTTCAATTTTTTAAAAACATAACACACATTTCAACCAAGGCTGGTTATGTATGACAACAGAGTTTCTCTAATCATGCAAACTTAACATAAGATGTGGATATTATTGATATACTGGGTATACATGGGTTAACCTTAAATATATTTTTAATACAGAGTACATTTAATGAAGGCTTACAATAACAATAAAGTAGTTAAAATCCACTTCAGCCAGCTAAAATAGCCAATATGATCAAGTAATATAAGAATAAAGTATAATAACACAATTATTTTACTTTGTGCACATGTTGCCAATCACCTACTTCTGCATTTTTAATGCAGGATATTTACTTGTGGTGGAGCACTCTTATCTCTACATTGTGGGATTTCTATATTACTTGAGTAAAAGAGGTGAATACTACATTTCTTGTGTTGATTTAACTTCGTGGTTAGTGTGTAACTGTATTGCCTGCATTAGTTTTAGTGTCTAGTGTCAAATAGGTTGAGATCCCAGCGCTCTAAAACAACAAACAATGGCTCACTAAAGCCGTGGAACTGCAAGGTGACTTTAGCATTTGGTTACCATAATAATTATACTCATTTGTGTTACTAGTAAACTGGCCACTACTGAGAGTATACTTATTAAAATTTTGGTGTTATATATTAATATTTAATTATTCATTTGTAACTTTTGGATAAAGTGAGTAAAAAATGTGCTTTATATGGACACAGGGGGCAGTAATGTGCTTCTTGCGGCTTGGCGAGGCGCAGCAGAATCAGGCGAAGAAGACACTCAAGAAACACGCCTGGATAAGCTACACAACAAAGGGAAGACTTATGCTTTATTTAAGGTATTTGTACTGCTTAACTTTAACGAGAGAAAATACTTCACAGATGAAGACTAACCGATGAGTGTTCCTAAAGTATCTCGGATATTTCACCCCCAGTCCCGATAAACAACAGCACCGTAAGTTTCCGTCCTGGACTGTCAGGCAGTGACTGAAGCAGAGCTGCTAACAAACATAAGTCATTTTCTGGGTTCGGGTGGATAGTACCGGTGTAAATGTGTTTGTTACTTACATGCTTCTTGTTTTTTAATCAAAGCTGGGAATGTAGCTAACCTCGGGTGCTGCTCAGTTTCGATAAAAACGAAATTCAAAGGGATCTCCATGTTTGTCGAAAGTCACAGTGGATGCTCGCGAGAAGTAACGGTTAACGTTCTAACGTCAACTAACATTAACGGGTACAGTCACCGGTTTTGGTGGCCTGTCCCCGTCTGGAGATTACCCCGGGAATGTCCCCGTTTTTAACTGTGTTGATCATAGACTGTATAAGGTGTTAACACACCTGAAATCAGATTTTACGTGACCAGAAAGACAGAGTCGACAGGTGTCGTGCTGAAAAGTTATCGTCCGCAGAAAATTAGCATTCTGTGTTAGCTGTATCGCCCAGTCTTTTGACGTCTACAGCTGCTTTTATCTGGATCAAACAGAGAATAACGTGCAAATAAACAGCACTTTATGTCCGTGGTATAGCAAAGGTATGTCTTTGTGATATGGTTGTGGCCAAATAAGTGTTTGCAGTTCATAGGCATGACATTTAGCCTAACTTTACGTGATCAAAGGCAACGCCTGTTATTACCGATTACCTAGATGTGGCTTGTCTTTACTTATAAGTGGTGAACTGTAGTCATGAACACAGAAACAAGCTCACTGTGGTTAGATCCTTGAGTGGGAGCATTGACTGCAGACACTGAGACAATGCACGCCTTGTTCAACTGTTTACTGTAAATTATGACTGGTGTTCAAAATCTGCTGATGCTGTGACAGTGCATTCTTCGTTCTGCTATTATCTACTGTTGTTATGACTACATGAGAAAATGTTGATGCTGCTGATATTAAGACTACATGTTTAATTACCAATAGAGACTACATGTTTAATTACTAATTAAGGGTTTGATTGTCAGCTTCCAACCTCTAATTAATACAGCCTGTGCGAACTTTGAGTGAACTTGCTGAAGGATTTTTTGTTGAACAGAAAAGACGACAGATGCTTAATAAAAACACGTCAGATAGTGGATGACAAAAAAGACGACAGACGCTTTACGAAAACACGACAGATAGATGAAAAAAGCAGAAAACAGCCAGCACAACATCAAGATTACTGTAAGAAACCAAGCATTAATGAAGGATACAGCATTACATATGTTATTCTTGTATAAATTTTTTAGGAAATACAACTTTGTGTCAAATTATGCATGTATAACTAAAATACGGTGAGACTGAAGTTGAAATGTAATGGTGAACTTCTTATCCAGTAAAAATCAACAATATAGTAATGAATGACAGTTGGAAAACAGTGTTAATTGGTAAAACAACGCATCTAAGCAGCATGACAGCAGAGGATAAGAAGTTCACCATAAGGAGAGGAGGGGGCAAACCAGCCCAGAGGGGGATATATAAGGCTGTCTGGAGACCACAGGATTGACACCATCCTCCGACCTGCAGGGATATTGTACGGGTTTATCTGTCCTTTATTGGAATAAACTCTTTTGCACCGATCTCTGACCATCTCTTTGAAACTTTTGTATTCTAATTGGTGTCTATTTTTGTTGATAATAAAAACGTTGGTAAAAGTTCAAGCTTTCTTATCTGGCCCAAGTCTTGAATTTTTTTACACGACATTATGTACTAACCAATCTAGTCCTTTTTACCTGTTGAAATACCTTTAAATGGCCAATACAAACCATGTAATGCAGTAATTTACTTGCCAGTAAGGGACTTATTGACTGAAAGGTAGATTCTGCCTCAAAATGACTTGATTTCACTCAGAAGAGCTATATTTGACAGATTATAAAACCGAAATTGTCCCTCTTGCCCCTTTTTTATTTCATATATAATAACATTTATATTTTTTAATGACATACTGACCAACAAACCAAAAATATCCCCAGTTTTCATTTCAGAAATATGGTCACCTTATTTAAAGTCCCCTCAAAAAAAGTGTTTCTCTTGTTGTTGCTTCACTTGTATGTTTGACATTAACAATGCTGAATGATGTTTGTGCAGAGTTTGATAGTAGAGGGCCTTTTCACAGCTGTTGCGCTTAACTTAGTCTAAAAAGTGTTTTTAAGAACATGATTCTGCAAAATCACAACTCATTACCTATTTAGGTAACAAAATACGGGGAATTACTGGTAGTTCAAATTGTGAAGACCACCTCAGTTTTATTAAAGCTGGCTGGTGTATTTAGATTTCTTTAGGTGAAACGATGTCCTGTCTGAAATTTTGAGTGCAAAGAGAGCAGCTGCGCACACGCCCCTTGGATTGGGTTGCCAGGTTGTGGTGACAGAAGGGTAGAAATTGTATTAGTGATGATTATTCATTATAAAGTTAGAGAGACGTGGAAATTACCTGAGTTTCCCAGTAGAAACATGAAAAGGGAAGGGCGCCGGGAAATGGTCCTGAAACATGGGAGATTCCTGGGAAAAACGTGAGTGTTGGCAGGTCAGCTTGCCATTTTGAAGCCAGTCATGGTCCAATGTGCATTTTACGCAAATAATTCCTTTAAAACATGCTCGCGGCATCACTTCTGACCTTAATGTCCTTGAGAAGCATGAATATGCTGTATAATCTTTGTAACTGAGTCTATGATCGCACCATTCACAGCACCACTCCTTATCACTTGTGGAAATGTTACAGTTTGCTAGACCAACACTAAGGTATAATGGCATGTGGCCTTGTCCACTGTGACTCTGCAGGTGTGTGAGCCCTACCTCTCAGGAGTCAAGTCTAAGAACAACACAATTTACTGTTCAGCAACTCCCCTGCTGGACACTTTACCTTCAGCGTATGATTTGAAACCTTGTCCGTTGCAGTGATTATGGAGGAAAATGAGATGGAGATGAGCAAAGAGGAGCTCCGAAAGTGGATCAGAGAGAAGGTAAAGAAGAACACGCTGATTTCCACAGAGGTGCTAGAGAAATGCAATCTGCTGCAATCTCTGCTGGAAAGGAAAGAGAAACAGGCTGCCCACCTCATGACGCTTTTTGAGTGAGTACTATTCTGCCTCTGGTAAAAGCCCTTTGGACAATAATTAACTATTTTATTCTGTCTTGTTACCACTGTGGAAAACCGCTTTTCATTTCTTACAACAGCTCTCTGTTTATTGCCTGCTGTCAGTATAGAGGTGATTTACGTTGTTATCTGATAAGCAAGTGTCATGATGATTTACATAGCTGAGACAACTGAAACCTCATCAAACTTTGAGAGACTAAGTGAGAAGGACAAACAACTTCACACTTCAGAATATGAATTGTAGTCCGGATATGTTTTTTTTACAAGTTTAATTATGTTCTTAAAATTAAAGATCTAATTTCCCCGACTGTTGTAATTTATTCTGCTAATACATTTCTTTTAAGTTTAGCAAACTCACTACATCACTGTTATGCCAAATGTCTTGTTTAACCATTCTTTTATTAAGAAAGGCAACTGTCCTTTCAACTTGGCAACACAAAGGTGATCCAGCGACATGCCAACATGCTCTAAAACGTATTAACAGGGCTTGCATGCTCCCTGACTACAGTACGGCAGGGCTGAAACCTTGTTCTCTGTCTATGTAGTCTGAAAGTTAAGTGCTTATCCCGCATTGCCTCCTAAAATAGAATAAAGTGTCTCCCTGACACCTAAGAGGGAAAGCTAATTCACACCAGTTGGTCTTGTTAAATACAAAATGCCTAAAGGTCAGTGGGCTGCTCACTCTGTCGTGACTCCTTCAAAACGAGATGTATCCAGTGTCCGTATGTAAGCCAACATATTAAAACATTTCTAGCCTGTTTGTGTAAAAGAAGTCTCAAATTATGTATTAAAAAAGAATATATTTGTATCAACTGTATTTATTTAAAAATGAAGAGTATACTGGTCCCTTCTCTCTACGTAAAGTACAGTTGTCTTCCCCAAGTGTTTCTTTATGTTCTTTGCTTCATTCATTTTGTCTTGATGTCTTTCAGGTCTGTGGCAGCATGTGAAGCGATTGTGAAGAAACAGTACTCTTTTCTGGGGTGGGAGTACAGAGAAACAGATTCTGATGATGACGATAATATAACAGGCTATGGTAAGATGCAAATCATTGAGTTAATGAAACAAATTGTTCTTAGTATGTCTGTGAGCTTTGCTAATTGCTCGTTTGTTTTCAACCAAGTTTGTTTCTGTAAAAGGCACAATTTGATCTGTGCCTTTTTTTTTTTTTTTCTTTGTAGGAAATACACCTCCATCCCCATGTAAGTTTGTTCATGCTCAAGCACTCTGCCCTTCAACTACGAATGGCCCTACTCGTCTGTTACCAAAGCTTCAGGACAGTGAGAACCTCAATAGAGATAATGGCAAAAACGCCTCTGTCCGTCTAAAGAAACTAGTGGTGGTCCTGACCAGACTTTCTACAAGTAAGATCAAGTCTTTAATATGTCCACCAACGCTTCAGAGTGAAAATTCTGATGCGCAGGCAGAACCAGAAGAAACGCCTCAGAATCACTGCAGTGAAGAAGAACCCTCAAACAATGCGGATTCTGATATGCAGGTGGAACCAGAAGAAGCGCCTCAGGATCACTACAGCAAAGAAGAATCCTCAAACAATGCAGATTCTTATACGCAGTGGGAACCAGAAGAATCGCCTCAGAATCACTGCAGTGAAGAAGAAACCTCAAACAATTCTGATGCACAGTGGGAACCCGAAGATGATTCCAGTGATTCAGATATTTCTTTCTCAAGTCACAATACTGGGTCAAACAAGAGGAGAAAAATAGATCGAAAGAATAATAAACTTGCTAAGAGACATGCATCACCCCAAAGCAGCACAAATAGCAACCCTAAGGGCAACGTAACGAAAACATCAACGCCCCAAACCAACAAAAATACAAACCCTAAGGGCAACGTAACGAAAACATCAACGCCCCAAACCAACAAAAATACAAACCCTAAGGGCAACGTGACGAAAACATCAACACCCCAAGCCAACGCTAAGAACAACGTAACGAAAACATCACCACTGCCAACAAAAACCAATGGTATTGTCCACAAAAAACATTTAACATTTAACACCCCTACCACTCAAAAAAGAATATGTTGCTTGATTTCTGGCCCTAAAAAGTATACTTATCACAGCACAAGAAAGAAAGAAAGATGTTTTTGTGGTTATTTACATGTATTTCAGCTGATGCAAAGCAGCAGTGGAGATCCTCAGCTGTTTTTTTCAGCGTTTCAGAGGGAACTGATATTGTCAAAGCATTGGATTTTTTTTAATTTAAGCTCAGTGATTTTGCTTGATCACCATTGTCTTGTCTGGTAACCAATACTATGCTGCTGACTACTTGACTAACTAACAATAATTTTTTTTTTTAAATTAGATTACAGTATTGTAGAGAATAAGATAAAGGTAAACTTTTTACAATGACCAGACATTTCACTGTTTCATGTGTTGTAACCTAGATTGTGAAACAGTTCCATCTTATTGGCTCACAATTAACTGGATTAATCACACAGACCATGAAAGTTTGTTTTAAAGGTGTCTGGGTTGGTGGATATTTAGACATCACTTATTTAGAGTAACTTCTGTTCTTAACATTTTGAAACAAGTTATAGGTATAGGATTTTTCTCAAATGCCTACAGCCAGAAATTAGTTTTGCTGAAGTTCATCAGTTTTGATATAAACATGTTGTGTTCCTTTTTCTACTGACAGGAGTAACCCCTGTGAGCACCGTATCAGCTCTTTCCCAATCCTCTGATGGAGCCACCAAGGTCACTCCGAACGTGCTGCTACAGGAGATCCGTGTGAATATGAATGTCCTGGCCAGAAAGTCGTCCATGAGCTGGAAACAGGGGAAAGTCATAGAAATAGTAACAAAGGGTAAGAAGAAAAAACAAAACAAAATTTGTTGCGTTGACTGTATAAAAGAAATGGACATAGCCTCCAGGTCTGAAAAGTGAAGCCAATGCGTAAGTCTCTTGAACCTGTATTCTTGGCCATCAAGATTTTGCACAAAGAAGTCTGATAGTACAGACGTCTATGGGAAAAGAAACCTCAGTAAACATTTTCCCAAAGAGTTTACGTGACAGAGCCACGTCCACAATTTAAAAAAAAATTAGTTTGGACATCTATTTACACTGAGCTATTTTGTCCAACAAAAAATCAGCAGAAAATGATTTGAAACTATTAAACATATAAAGTGGAAACACTGTGCTCTTGAGGTTTAATTGTAGGCCTATTATGAACAGTCCTGTTTCAAAGGATTACAGAATGATGTGTTCTGTGTACTTGCACTCATCATGCTTATGACATTCGCCAGCATTTAACAATGTCATAGAGGACGAGAGAGTTGATTGTTTGTTTGTACATTATCACTTATCTTCTTCAGTACCACAACAAAGATAAGGAGTTTGCTCATGAATTCATGCCACCACAAATGTTGTTTGTTTGTTTTTTTTGCAGAAGATGGTAGGGTGAAATATAAGATCAGTTTTGACGAGAAAGGAAAGAGCCTAGTCTCTGGTCACCACATCGCATTTGACTGCTTGCCAAAGGCAGAGCAGCTGTTTGTCGGTGCTCGTATGGTTGTCAAGTGTCCGGGTGACAAGCCCGACAAGCCCAAATTCTGCCCTTGTATCCTGGCAGAGCTCCCCAGCAGGAAAAACCGCATGAGGTTTGTGTTTGTAATGGATCATTTTTTTACGAATGAAATCAGATTAAAAAAGTTTCCTTTTTTTCTTCAGTAAAAAAATTTAGTTGTTTTAGCCAAAGTATGGTTTGATGAAAAACTTGCTTTCATTTTCCAGGTTCCTGGTCTTTGTTGATGATCACAGGCCCTTCTATGTTGGCTTACCTCTACTTCACCTGGTGTGCAGACCGTGTAAGTTTGGGTGTTTTCATTCACACACTAACTGGTTTGAAGATTTGTTACAGAAACAAGGTCTTCTGCTTTGTTACAGTTGCAATAATTAGAAAAATTAGTTCCCATCTCAGAAATTCAGCAACAAGTTTGGTACACAGCTTGTGGTGTGTGTGAAACATTATTAATTAATTTAATTTAATATCAGTGTTATTCTCACATCTATTTTGTAATATGGTATAAGGTTGTAACTGTTAGTTGCTGTCCATATAGTGACCTAGATTATTTTTTTATTAGCGTTAACCCTGATAACAAGTCAGGGAAAGCAATATTTTAGTGGTTTTAAGTTATGTAGCCTACCGGTGAAGCAACATATCTGGCACAAAACCGCGACGCTTCAAACTGTTTCAGCATTCTTGGATAGCAACATCACATACATAACAACCTATCGAAAGCTGTTGTCAGAGTCCTTAAGCCCAAACTGGCAAAAGTGCACGCTGATTGATGGTTAGCTGGATCATGATCAAGACGTTGGAGGGTGAACCCCATGCATCAGCTCATTTTCAGATATAAATGGCACGCTTTCTTAGATTTATAATGAAAGAGTATTTCTATAGTTCTGATTTTAGATGACGGGTTATTATAAAATTGCTATGATCTGATGGTGTAATTATCACAGTTACATTTTCATAATGAGGAGTGAACTTCTTTCTCACTGGGAACTCCTGTCATTCATGGACCCAACATCGTTTGTAGTGTAACATTCTCTGGTAATATCTAACTGTTTAACAGTGATGAAAGTGAGGAAATGGTAGAAACATTGTGGAGCACAATGCAGAACAATGTAACCTCAGTGAAAATGCAGGAACATATGAAATGAGACTCCAGGAATCTTGAGAATTCCCTATACTCCTCATGTAACTGCAATCAGCACTCAGCCAATCATATTAACACTGATCATATTTTCATCTCTGTTCATTTTTGCTTTTATTTTAAAATAAGAGTGCCCTGTAATTCAAGATAACTTCATCTAAAATTAACAAATCATTTCTCAAACTGCTTTCAAAGAACCAAATTAGTTGGATGGATTTTACTAGAATCATTTTAGCCTGATAAACGCATGTCAGCCTTAATTAATCAAGCTACATTTGAAGAACAGGGTCCAGTTCACTTGCAGCAGTTGAACATGTCAAAGGCAGACCCAATAATATAAAGAACACAGGCATTTGTTGCCAGTATGCTAGCTTGCCTCTGATAGAAGTCATAAACTATTGACCAGCATTATCATATAAAGCATAGATTCTAGTCGAGTTGTATGTTTTTGATAAAACTTTGTTGACTAAGTTACAAAATAATTTTATAATTTTCTGACATTTTATGGACCGAACAACTAATTAATTAATCAAGAAAAATAACTGATAATGAAAGGAATCATTAGTTGCAGCCTTACACATGAGCAAAGCACTAGAGGTCTGCTACCAGGCAACACTATTGATAAAAGGAATTAAAAATCACCAGAAATGAAGCCTTTACTTTTATTTGCCCCTGGTGCAAGTCTTCAGCTTAGTTTTTTTGAATTACATACGATCTTTGGCATCTTGCCCATAGCCACCAGTCCCACTTGCACTGTAGAGTACTGAAGTGAATGTGCATTCAATGGTGTCCTATCAGCGACACAAGTGCATACATTTTAAACATGTGACCCTACATGGAATCGGACCACTATATTCTTGCATCTGTTGAACCACTGTTGTCCAAGGTGTACAGGTAGCTGTTGTTATACTGGCATTAAACAGAGCTTGGTTTCTATTTCCTGTGACAGTGGAGGAGCCTTTGGACGATATTCAGGATGACACCCACAAGAATTTCCTCAAGGAGTATATAAGATCCTGGCCTTACCCGCCCCAAACGCAGTACAAGATTGGACAGATAATAAATGCAAAATTGAATGGATCCCAGCAGAGGTGTGAGGTGCTAGCGGTTGACTGCAGCCTGATACAGGTTGCTTTTGAGGTCAGTGTCTGTAAACCACATTGTTCAAACTGTTTCCAACTGGATTCTTGTTTTTTTTTAACCATGTTTTTGATTCTGAGTTAACAGTAGTTTGTGTGTCATCATGTTTAGAAAGATCAACATAAGGAGTGGATCTACCGAGGCTCCTTACGCTTGGAACACATGATTAATATGATGGAGAACCTGGAGATGAAAAAGGATTAGGGTCAGAAGGAGTCAATGGTAAATTAAATTCTTCAACTAATAAAATCATGGAGTTAATGTAGTTATAGCTAATATCTCATTTGTCTCTTCGTTTCACCTGTCTTGTGTACTTCAGATCATAAATGTGTCAAGAGAACTGGATGCTGTGTTCCAAGGTGACGCCCCATGCATTGAGTCAAGGACATAGACTAAAAATCTTTTTCTCAGGCTTCCTAAGGCTTCTGTTTCGGCCTATAGTTTACCCACACCTGACTGAGAACTGTCACAGACAGTCCACCCGCACGTTTTCCTTTGGCCAAGCTGGTTGAGAACATGGATGTTACAGCGGTATCCCAATAGCCAATATGGCTGTTCTTGCAAATTCTGTCTGCATTGCTGTTCCTGGGGGCTGGGACCACATACTGCTCAAGGTTTTAACTTGTTTTAATAGAATCTGAAAACTGTTGTTTTTAAGTGTTTTGTGTTATAAATTTTGCATTCTTAAATAAAACTATTTCTTATTTTCTTTGAGCTTATTTTAACTTGTTAAAAAGCAGCATCTTTTCTAGATGTACATGGTCATAACTGCAAACTATGGAAGCCCACTTCTACCAGGAAAATAAAATCTATTAAAAGTTCATCTCATGCAGGTATATCAAAATTCTGAAAAAGGCAGTCAAACTTATGAGATAAGGAAAAATGTTGACAACTAAGTCAAAATGGAAAAGTAGAATAATGAAATAGTGACATTTTGTCTAAGTCAACAATGTAATACAACAACGATACAATAAAAAACGTCATTTTGACTATAACATGTATATTTTTAGTCATGACTGTTGCAGGCTTATGGTATTGCGCTCATTAGTCGTGTGGTTGTTGTACATACAGGACTGGATTACATTTTGGGCGCAGAGAGGCGTTTGCACTACCAGTCTGAACCAGAACTAGCGGTAGTGTAACGTTACAGGGAAGACAGGAAAAAAAGCTGGCTGCTTGCTAGCAACAGAATCTTGACCACCGGGCTAGCGAGAAGATATATAAGGAAACTGGAACGCCACCACGGATTTCTTGTGGGACAAACGTACAGGCCTCGCTGCTAAAACGGTAAATGTATAAGAGCATTTTCGTGCTGTTAAGTAAGCCTCCCGAAGGGTTAGTACGACTGCTAGTTAAAGTAGCTGTTTAGCTAGCTGATGAACGTAGCTAAGCTAAGATGGCGGCCAACTTATTTACATTAGCTAATGTTGCTAGCAGAGAATGCTGCAGCTATCGGACAGTTAGTGAGCTGGTTCGAGTTTAAAGATATTTTTTATGCAATGGTGTTTGAAAACGGGAAAAGCATTAAGTGATAGTAACATTAACGTTACTTAATGGCTTGGTGCTTACTGAAAACAACCGCGTCAACGGCAATGTTACAAACGCAGGAAAAAAAATATTAGCAACGCTTTTTTAGAAGCGTATTATAAACTCAGAATGGCGTTATGTTTTAAATCTAGCTTGATAACGTTTAACTTACATTAGCATCATCCTATCAGTAGTCGTGTTTTGATAACATTACAGTAATTTATGGATTGTTTACAATCGTTTGAGGCAACACTGAATTACGCTAACGTTATCCCGTGGTGGGTTGTCAATAGTTAAATAGGATCGTGCAACAGGGTTATTAATAAAATGTTTCCCCGCATTTGCATCGCTAATGTTACTCTGTTCACACATTTCCCGACCCGCTTCAACAGTTGTCTGTCTAACTTAGCTCTATTAGCCCTTGACTCGTTTTTGCACAGATTTATTAACGTTACATGTTTCATCTTGATGTTGAGTGTTGAACTGGGTGTTTGTGGTTGGCTTTATTCAAATGCAGGCCCCGTTCATAAGTACGATTTTTATTATTACCAATCTTGTTTACAAAGCTGATGTCGTCAGCCCCTTTTGATCAGATTAAATAAAAAACATTTGCCTTTTATAAGATAATTTGTATTGAGCAGGGATGTTAAAGTTCACATCTTCACATGTAGTATAAGTGGCTTGTGCTAAAATGAGCTTATTCATTTTACTTTGGATCACATTATCCTATTTTTTGTTTGTCTCCCTCACCTGCTTCTACTGACTCCCAGAAATCGATTGCCCTCTCTCATGATTGGAAAAATATGAACAGGAGTAACTGTATAAAGTGATCTGCTACATTTAAGTGCAACCCTGTAGTTTGTAATTCAACAAGCTTTTCATGAACTTTAATTGCCATTTTTTGCCACAGGCCCTCATTGTTCATAATTTTTAAATTCTGAATAATGTTTTGTTTGTCCTGATAATCCACTAGATGCCTCACACTAGACGGTACTCGTCTTCGGACAGAGACAGTCGAAGCAGCTATCAAGATCGTTACAGAGACAGAGACAGAGGGCGAAGACACCGGCACAGAAGATCACCTACTTACTCCTCCAGCAGTGACAGAGACCGAGACAGAAGGGGACGGGGACACAGACAGGAAGGAAGCTATGCACGCTCAAGGAGGTATGTTTGTGTGGTTAGTGAGATGGATTTGGTTTGCTAAAAATGGTTTTTATAGTACCAACTCTAAAGATACTTTTTTCTTTAGGTTTGGTTGGTTGTCAGTCATTTCAGTGTATGCTTCTGTGCTCTGATTCAGTCGTAGCTATGACAATCGCTCCACGGAACAACGGCCATTTGACCGAAGATACTGCGAGGGATACAGACGCTTGGATCAGAGCCGAGATCGAGACCGCGACAGAGAAAGGGAGCCACATGGAGCAGCTGAAAGTTACTATCCACGCGACTTCTCCCCAAACATGTACGACTACAGACGTGGCCGCGAGAGGGAGAGGGAGCGCGAACGGGATGAGTCGTATCGGCGGAAAGGCAGCAGGCGTAAGCACAAACGAAGGCGGCGTAGAACCAGGTCCTATAGCCCATCCTCCTCGGTGAGTACAGCCAGACCTGAGATTGTATTTTAACTCTCCTCATCCTCTTTCCTTCCATCTCTGTCTCTTCCACTCAGCTCTTTCTGTCTCTGTCTTTCTCTAACCATTTCTTCCTCACAGCTCCTGGAATTGGTAAGTAGTAAAATCTTTGATTTTTTTTTTTTGGTTTGTCAGAAGGGCTTTCTTTGAATTTTTTTGTTTTGTTTTGTTTTTTTGTTTAAGTGGCTTTTGCTTAAATTGGCATTCCTTTTGGAAGAGCATTTTCATTTTTATGCAGATACTTTTTCAGTAGTTCATTAATGATCAACCACTAATTCTTGCTGCTCTTCAGATACACACCCATCACAGCTTTCTTAACTTTTCCTTTTAAAAGCCTGGTTACACCTGGTCACACTTAATTCAGTGTCTGTGGCCCTACCTTTCATACAATTGTATTTTTGCCTGCTGGTTGACAACTTTTTGAAGTTTAGTGCAGATATGAAAAAAAGTGAAAATGTTCTACCAAACAAAACGCAAAATTGAGATTTAAATTAAATGCAGATTTCTGTTAGAATTTATTGACATCTAAAATGTCTTAGATTTGTTAAAATGCATTTTTTGTGTCGGTTATGTTAACCACACGAGTATTTAGTTGTATAAATTTAAGTGAGCAAGGGGTTGAAGTGTATTTTGGGACTATTTTTAAATATTTCCTGCTTGATTACATATGGTCCTCTCATTTTAATTTCCATCTTGTTTAATCTGAAAAGTCAACCTGATAAGTTTTGAATTAGTTATATTACTGTCTGAATTGGTTTTTGCGTTGATGAATGGATATGCCAGTTGCTTCCTTGTTTGTAAGCAGCTGGGGTTTAAAGGTAGAGGGGGGAGAGGAGCAGAGGACAACATGTGATCTTTGACTTGTTCCCTTGCACTATATCCCTATCGTTATATATTTCCTTCACGTGGTGTCATGCGTGAATCGCCCCATGACCACCAAACCTACCTACAACCACAACTACTTCAACACCACCCTCCTTCCTCCTCGTCTACCTGTGCCACCTGACGCCGTGGCTGCGGCTGCCCCTGAAAACCCCCTGTACCCTCCGGTCGTGTCGTGACCTGCTGATGGTGGTTTGGGTGTGAAAACAGCGGAGCAACAGCCGGACGAGGGCACTGAGTGTGAGGGACGACGAGGAAGGGCACCTGATCTGTCGGAGTGGGGACGTCCTGCAAGAGAGATGTACTCACTGCCACTACTCTATCGTAACCCTTCTCCATATGAGTATTAAAGCATAGAGCATTTACATGACATGGGAGTGCCTGATGATGATGCCTTGCTAGAATGCTCTTCGCTCTAGCTGAAATAGCAGGGTGGATTGCAAAAATGTTGAAGATTTTGAGAGGGACTTTAGGTACCTTCTCCTTTTTGTTCTAGGATTTTAAGCCGTGGAGCATTTTCTATGTTTCACAGGTTACTTGACTTTCCTAAACATAGAAACCCATTTGCAGCTGTTTGTCTTTGTCGCGTGTCAGATTAAGAAACTCAGGTACATTTTTAAATCTTAAGCTAATTATTTTCCACTGTAAGGGTTGCAGGGATTTTCTGTTTATTTTTTAGTAGACATCTAACATGCACATCACCTATTTAGTCATTTTCTAGCACAATCAGCACACTTATAAACAGTAAATTTATATTAACTCGTTTGTCATTTTCAGGGTCATGCATTGTTTTAGTAGAAATACTAATCATTTCCCCTTTTACACATTACCCCCGTGTCATTTTGGGAAACAGCAGCCACATCTTGAAAGGATGTGCCTTTTTATATTTAATAGCTGCAAATTGGTCATCAAATGAAGGGAGCGCTTTACATTTGCCCCCTTATTTTCTTCACATGTATCATAGTGCCATGCAATCAGTTATCATAGATTACCTCAAAGTGTTTCAAGCCTGCCAGATTGAATAGGCAGCCATTTGAAAAGGGGATGGGCGGTAGAAATGATACGCCTGTCTACACTTTTGCATAATGTATTTGTGCTTAAGTCCACATGTCTAATGCTCATGTTCTTTCTTTCCCCGCTCTCCCTCCCTCCCTCCTTTTCTCTCTGTGTTGTGTTGCAGATGAGATTGTCAGCACCTTGGGGGAAGGCACTTTTGGGAGGGTGATGCAGTGCATTGACCATCGCAGGTTTGTGTTACTTAACATTGGAAAACAAGAGCTGTCAGCCTTTGGGGTGAAATTTCCAAGACTCCATAGAGAATACCTGCTCACTGAGCTTGATTTAAAAAAATATTTTTTTATTGGAAACAAGCATGTTGGTGTTGTACCTCTCAGGGGGTTAGACTTAAGATAAATGACATTAGGATATGAGTATTCAAAGGTGCTGTTTTTTTCTGCTGCATTTGTTGGTGGCATGGTGCAATTTACTGCAGGCGTATTAGCCCTGCTGTATCTTACCCTTGTTTGACTGTGGCCCCCCCCTCTAAGTTAAGATTCAATAAGGAAGATGTATTGTCTTGTGACAGTGCTAGAATTGTACATCCAAGCAAGTAACTTTTCATAGTCAGGGCCTTAAGAAAATGACACTTCCAGATTTTTTGCTTATTGCAAGGAGTGAATTCTCATTTATCCCATATGTAAAGTTAAATCATGTCACTTTTGTTCAGTCGTACCCTTGGAACCTGAGAACTGCATCAACTTCTTGATGTAAGGTTTACATACAAATGTAATACATTTTTTTTGTGTTTCATTAACTCTGTTTTTGGCTTCATATTATCTTGTTCTACAGGGGAGGAGCCCGTGTTGCACTGAAAATTATTAAGAATGTGGAGAAGTACAAAGAAGCAGCTCGCCTGGAGATCAATGTATTAGAGAAGATCAATGAAAAGGACCCTGATAACAAATTGTAAGTTCAGACTGAGTATTGTGGTACTGCAATTGAATTACCCATAAAATTCACAAGTTAAGACATGCTGTGTTATGATGTTGATACAAGTAAAGTAGTATTAGAATACATTAACCAGTACATGACTCCTGTATCCTGTTTTTTCTTGCAGCCTGTGTGTACAGATGTATGACTGGTTTGACTACCATGGTCACATGTGTATCTCCTTTGAGCTGCTAGCTCTCAGTACTTTCGACTTTCTAAAAGAAAACAACTACCTGCCCTACTCAATTGGTCAGGTCAGACACATGGCCTACCAAATCTGTCTCGCAGTGAAGTGTAAGTTTATTTTTATTTTTTAAGTCCTCTGTTTGATTGTAGTACATAAGAAACTTATATAATTAGGAGAATTAAAAATGCAACTAAAGGAACATTCAGCATGATCGGTGTAGAATTTGAACTTTTCTGTAATAAAGTTTTTTTTTTTTTCATAATGTCTCTAAAGGAAGTGTAGTTTTCCAACAAACACACCCTCACCCAGTGATGTTTCGTGTCTTTGAGTGGCTTGACTGAAAGTCTCTGTTTGTGTTAGACAGCCTGTAGCCACATGAGGGCATTATAGCGCCAAAGGTCAGGCGGAGAAGTGCGTCTATTAACTAGCTTCTCAGCAGTAAAATAAGGCTGCAAATAAATATAATTCCTGCCCCAAATGTCAGTATTTGTCTGGATTTTTACTATTCAGATGTTTTTTCACATTTTCACTTAGACATCTATACTATTATTATTATTATTATTATTATAATCATCATCATTATAAATTGTAGCATGTGTCATCTAATCTGTAAGGAATGAAGGTCAGCACACTGCTTGATTAGAAAGCGGTGTGTGTAAAGTAGCTATAAGCCCATTTACTGGCAAAAGTGAATACTTAATTACCGTTAAACTTGTTTTTCTCCATAGTTCTCCATGACAATAAGCTGACACACACAGACCTAAAGCCTGAGAATATCCTATTTGTCAACTCAGACTTCACAATGTCCTTCAATGTAGAAAAGGTAAGATGCAGTACAAGGCAAAGGAAAAAGGATAAACGTTTATTTTGTAACTGACTTTCTAAACTAAAGTCTACAAACAAAATATGATGTCTGTAGACTTAACTGGCAAATCACTTACAAAACTGATTTATTTTTTTTCTCCCAGAAGTTCATCAAAGCTCAACAGTTCTGAGACTCTTATATTTTCTTTCAGAAGCGAGAAGAGCGGACAGTTAAGAGCACAGCAGTACGTGTGGTGGACTTCGGCAGTGCCACTTTTGACCACGAGCACCACAGCACCATTGTGTCCACGCGGCATTACCGTGCCCCTGAGGTCATACTAGGTGAGGATGTCTGTAGGCTCTTAGCCATAAATTCATTGAAAACACTGCTTCTCAGAAAGGATTATATGATTATTTCCACCAATCACAATTACTCAAGAGTTCTTAGAAATAAGGTCCAGACATTCATCAGGCAAATCACTTTGGAGATGAACATGTGTGTCTTTTCAGTTGGCAGCTTTGACAAGTTTCTTAAAGAAAGAGGCTGCTTTCTACAAGTTGTAACAGGAATAGCTCAGCATCCCAACCCCGATTCCTCTGTTAGGCAGTTTAAGGTGCCTTGTTGTGCAGGAGATAGGGTGATATGTCTCCCCTTTGGATTCAGGACAGTTCACGTAAATCATACATACTGGTATACATATTAACACAATACTGCTACTGCAAGTCACTGTCAGGGAGCAGTGGGTGTCAAGATCAATGAGGACACTAGTTTTATTATATAAATTGCCCTCTAGGTTGTTATCTTTTTTTTTTGTTTGTTTTGGAAGCATCTGGTATTTATGCATAAACTGGATGGCTCTATGTAGTTAAAATACTGGGTCATTTTAATTACTTTGTGTGATGTCAGCAAGTATTAACCCCGGCTCTTAAGTGTTTAAATTTATTTGATGTGTTTTTGTCTTTCAGAGCTGGGCTGGAGCCATCCCTGTGACGTGTGGAGCATTGGCTGTATCCTGTTTGAGTACTACCTGGGCTTCACCTTGTTTCAGGTACAGTCGTGCGCTACTGCTGCCACCAGGCTGCAGCCAACACTTTACTTGATTTCCTTCTATGATACTGATAAATTGATTATTTGGCCAATATTTTACAAAACAGTGAAACATCCTTGGCACCTGTCAGTCTTGTAGAAATTAAGCCTTGGTGTCATTTCTGAGCTCTGACTCTCTGGCACTGTATATAGCAGCAGAACCAGCAGTAGTTAAACCCTGTTTGTCTTCTGAATTAGTCTCTTCCTTTCTGTCTGTTCCTCTTTCCTTCTAAGTCATGGTTGTCTGACTCTCACCTCTTTCAGACTCATGACAACAGGGAGCATTTGGCCATGATGGAGAGAATCCTGGGACCAGTGCCCTCTAGGATGATCCGTAAGACGAGGTGACAGAACACACAAACACACCAAAGTGATAATGATTACAGCGTTATATATACATATATATAGAAAACAACACTGCTTACAACGATCTTCGTACCTTCTCAGGAAGCAGAAGTATTTCTATCGTGGCCGTCTGGATTGGGACGAGAGCTCCTCAGCGGGGAAATACGTCAGAGAAAACTGCAAACCCTTACGGGTAAGACGGAGTGGAAATAAAGAAATTTGTTGATTAGCAGGGCTGAAAAGTGCAAACAGTGCATTTTTTGTTTTGTACTGCAGTTCTTCTCTTGACAGTCTCTCAGCATTTCTCTTTATCTCTGTCTTGTTCCCCTGTTAGCGGTACTTGCTGTCGGAGGCGGAGGAGCACCACCAGCTATTTGACCTAATTGAAAGCATGTTGGAGTACGAGCCCTCCAAGAGGCTCGTGCTGGCCGACTCCCTCAAACACCCTTTCTTTGAGAACGGGGGGATCGGCGAGGCAGCGGGCAGCAAGAACTGGGAGGGTAACCGAGACATCAGCCGGTGACCCACAAGCCTCTAAAGACTGAATGACAGAGGAAATCACGTCTTTTTATATGTGAAGCAGGTGAACTGTTGAATCAGTGGGGACTTCGGATGTTCTGTCGTTTGTCATTAAAGCATGGACACCTTAACTTCTCGCTCCACCCTGCCCCTCTGACATCCACCTCTGCAGTCACAAGAGGCATGTTTTCGTAGCAGAGAGACCAAAATAACCCACGAAAGACTGGAAAAGAGTCAAAATGAATCTTTTCTAGCGGCCACAGCCTCAAAAGTAGCCCTCTATGCAGCTCCTGTCTTCCTTTTGACTTCTGAACCAACCACCTTCTGTCCGTCCCGTCTATTATTTTCATCAGCATGTAAAGAAAATAATTCACCTTTCTAAGGTAATAAGCACTACAAAATTATACAGTAATTGAGTTTTGGGGAATAAATGTCTTCCTTTTAGGAAGTCTAATGAAAGGGGAAAAGGAGATAGAGCTGTATGTGCAGCGCAAGTCCTCACCTACATAATTCTAAACATGGCAACATAAAAGATATTCAGTTATGCTAACATCAAATAATTCAGTTCGAACGTCTTATTTCCATTTTATCTCTAGCAGAGACACATAACTCAAGTTTTTGTTTATGTTAAGTGAGCACTTGCATTGCATCAGTTTCTTTTTTACATATGAAAGGGTTATCTCTGATATGGAGACTCTTGCCCCTAATCTCTGGTGGTTAGGCCTGTTCGCCAATGAGATGATAATTGAGATGGACACTCTATATACACACACACACACACACACACACACACAGGCCTCTGTGGCCTGTCTCATTGATGGATATACGTTTGTTACGTTATGCAGTGTTTTCTGAGTGTGTGTGTGTGTGTGTGTGTGTAGGGGTGAGATGGCGTGGGTGACACGTTCCTGTTAATGTTTTGCTCAGTGGCTTAGTAGTTCAGCATTAGTCGTGGGAACATTCTCACATAACTTTTAAACACAAAACATGAACTGCCTTTTCCATGTGTGACGTGGTCAGACCTGAAGTCTCTCCATTGAGGTTAAGCACACAGCTCCTGGTGGCAGCCAACGAGCCATCCACAACTCCTGGCGGTGACAGTATTTATTTTGAGTTCCAATAGGTCATAGACCCTCCCACCCCTCACCTGTACATGACTTGTGTTTTTTGTATGAAATTAAAGCGTATAAACCTGTATATATGTATGATTGTGTAGAATTAAAGTTAAGTCCTCCTTGCCAAAGGCTTATGGTGCTCTCAGTATCAGTTCGGGCCTCTGGTAGCTAAAGGGAGGCACTCTGTCTTTAAATACCGTCACTGTGTCTGAGTCTGTCTCTTACCTCACGTCTAATACCACTGCTGGATGAAAACATCCGAGGTGTGTCTGAAATGCGCATATGAAGGTCGAACATTGAGTCTACATTATTTGTTAACCCTTCATTGTGTTTCTAGAAAGTTGCATAGCAATACAGACCAGCATACCATTAGGTGTAGAGATCCACATGTTCATATTGTTTCAGTTGTAATTGTGAAACTACTTCTGATTTTGTTAAGTCTTGGCAGTCGCATGTGCAGGTGTGGGATGCTTCCTATTACCCTTCATTTTTTTTCTCGTTCATTTCTTATGGAAGCTAATCCCTCTTTCATTTCCTTCCAAAACCTAAGCTCAGCTGTCAATGTGTCAAGACAGGAAGAGAGGAACACATGGAAGATCAGCTGCGACAGGTGCTTTGTCACATAAGCTTCCCAATCTGTTGATAACGTGTCAGTCTACCTTTGCTATATTAACCTCATTCTTTCTCCCTTCAATTTGACATGTGAATGAATGGATTATTCTGCTAGGGTGCTCTACAGCAATAACAACAGCTGTTTGTGAGGCATATAGATCAGATATAAGGGAAGGACCTTGCTACACTACAAGACTCAATACTTACTGTATAGGGCCCCTACCACCTAGTTAAAATTGTGCTTAAATTGGCACACAGAAATGCTGGGACCATTTGGGCCCTGGGTGTTACTGGCCCGGGTCACTTAAGTCAGTTGCCCACTTTGCTTGGTCGGTAAGTCAACCTTGGTCCCATTCTGTCAGATGGTTAGAGAAGTATAGAATGAGATACGAGTAAAAAAGGTTGCAGTTTGACATTCCAGATCAGAAAATGCCAGTGCTTACAACTGAAGATGTAAATTTGCAAGTATAGAACTGAAGTCAGTAATACTGGAATTATTAATTACAGTTAAGTTATTAAGTAAGTACAGTTTTTTTATTTATTTATTTAATAACAGCGTTCAGAGGCATCCTCACCAAGTGATTTATAGAAGCGTGGATGGATTTGGGGGAGCTTCTCTCTAGACCTGGATTCAGTTTTGAGTTCACAGAGTGAATGATTCATTGAATGAAATGAGTCATTCAACTTTGTGACTCAGGTGCTTAATACCTCCAGTCAATGAAGCTGTCTTTGGGGACAAGGAAGAAATCCTGTCTGCATCATGGAATCTTTCTGTCTTTCCACAGTCCATCTGTCTGGCTTCCTGTCTGACAAACTGTACCACCAAATGATCTCATCTGCTGTAACTGTACAGGTGTTCCCTACTGAAATTTAAAATTACTCTTGAACTAATTACAGTCACCCTATTAAAGGTCAAACCCCCAACTGTAAACATATAAGATATTTCAGTGGTCAAATGGAAACAAGCAGCTGTTTTGCTGTGTTGGTCTATGTTGAACTGCTCTGTTGTTAATGAGATAAACGACTTTTGCGTCTTCAGCTAATCCTGTTTGAGGATCAGCGAGGTAATCAGTCAAATCCCCATAAGAGCAGTTAGTGACAAAGCAGCGGTGTATACAGGTACACAAACTGAAGTACTGGGAGCAATGCAATGAGCGGACTTTACAACTTTTACAAATGATACCATCGGGTGATTGTGTCTACAAGAGATAAATAGTTGCAGGTGAGTCCCATTGTTTCTCTAAAGTGTGTACGGTATATTCTATTTATTTGCACTTTTAACATGTGACAGAACAGGAATTTACGGTGTTGTAGGTAGATAATGTTTAGATACTTGTTCTTGACATTTTAAAAAGAGATGAAGGCAACAATACAAGCTGATAGTATTAGGTGTAACTAAAAAGAAAGGCATCAACACTGGATTATACACTGATGTCTTTACTCTTTCTGTCACAGTGCCTGGGAAACACCACCTCATAACACCGCAGTCAACACCAGCACCAGACAACTCTTGAAATGGATTCCCTCATGTCGCTGGGCGCGCCCCTGAAGCAGTTCACCAGCTGTGTGTCAGGGAAAAATGCCCCCACCAAGAGAGGGGTCGAGAGGAGCCAGTCTGTCCGCAGAAACAGCTTCACCCGCAGGAAGAGCGTCAGTAGGAGGAGAAGCCTTCCCTGCAGCAGCCAGAAAGTCCCGGACTCCTGGCTCAGAATGTACCAAGATGAACTGAAGAGAGAAAGGTAGGGTGGCTCGCAACGTCTGACCCAAACATATCCATCATCTGATCTGTGATCAGCACTAAAACACACATTCTAGTCTCTTATAGTGTTATTTTGTCATCCAATGATGAATGCTTCAGATTTTGTTTATACTTTTCTGACACTTAAAAAAAAAAAAAAAAGTATTCAGTTGTAGTATTGTTATCCAGCTGAGACTCTTGGCCAGACATGCCTGGCTTAATGAGGATCAGGCTGTTCCTCACATGAATAAGCTGCTTGCCCATGTGCTGTGCCTAATGTTGCTCTGTGGTGTTTGCCAAAGGAAGCGACAGCAGGCTATACTGGCCAAGAAGAACGCAGAGAGGACGGTCAGAAAAACTCACTTCAGGAGCCACCACTGCCTAAAGAGGGTAAGCGAGCAGTTAAATCAAAGTAACAACAAAAGATTAATTTGCTTGTCAGTACACAAATGTGACTATCCTCACATTGTCTTCCACATGCAGCAGAAAACTGCTGCCAGGAAACCAGCCCCAGCAAAGGACGATTCCTTCTTCGGTGCCTTCCAAGGCCTCAGTCTGGACGGACTGATGGGAGGTAGTAATGGATCTGCTGGTGCTGGTTCTGGAGATCAGTGCAAAGTCATGTGACACCAAACATTTAAGGACAATGAGACTGTTTAAATGATCCTCATGCTCAAGAGACGTGAATGACAAAGGGCTCGTGGAGGAAAGGTGACTTGAGATGAAAATGAAACTGAGCCTCACTTCTTTATAACCCAAAAAAAGGGGGCAACATAAACTTATTTGGATTATACTCAATTTGTTTAGATGTTTTCTTTTTAGAAAAGTTAATATTGCTTGTACATGATGGTTGTTTTGCAAATTGTACTCCCAATTTTGTGTTGCTACCTGTCTGCTAGATGAGCTGAATTGTTTTTGTGAAATATAAAGGTTATAATACTGAGATCTTTACTGACATGTTGTCCTTGAATTACTACAATTGTATTCATCTGGTGCTCACACTCCTGAGCTGGGTTCATTTTGTGGAATCCTGAACAACATAGGAAATTATGTGCAACAAACACCTGTCGGGTATTTGGTGTCTTTATTGACAGTAATTTAATGAATACATTTAAGACATGCAGAACTAAGGTTGTTATGTCATGAACTGGCTCACGGTTCAGACAAAGGAGGGGAAAATGCAAAATGTGCATTTCTACTGCAGACTTAAATCAAAATGCTGAAGATTTCTGCGAACTGAAATATTTTGCTGTTGTGCTCCAATATGAGCATATTTCAAGGTGCTGTGTAAATCCAGTCAGTATTTTATGAACGGATCTATAATTGCAACCAGATCCTCAAAAACAATGTCACATACCTCTAGATATCACCTAGCGATTAAACTTTTCTGTAAAGTTTAGACTCAGCTTTGTAGACCACTGTAAGGTAGGCTTGTTAAGACCAAGCTTTATTTAGTTAAAAAAAAAAATAAAGAACAGAAATCAAATATAATGACAAACCACATGTATCTCGTCAGTTACAGAAGTGGAAGATGCATCATTTTCTCTTTCTTACATGAGGCAGGTATGATCTCGGGGTCCAGATCACAAATATGTACATTAGAAAACCAAGTACAAAACTATGTTGGTCAGGGTGAGGAAGTTGTCGGACGATGTAGTATCCCGGTGACGACTACACAGTTGACTGCAGATGACGAGGTGAGGACATACAGAACTGTTTTTTTTTTTTTTATACCAGTGAGTTTAATCTAATAAAGTTCCATTTTACAGCATCATTCTCTCTGTTCCATCTTGACTTTCGGGGGCTTGAGGAACGACCTGTTCTTTTTCTCCTTGCTCTTCTTGCCTTTGGCCTGGAAGGTCCTCCAACTGTCCACACGCCCATCTCTTGTTTCCTGACGAATAAAAATTCATCATTTAAGAAATGCCAAAAGCAAGAGCATTATGGGGTTTTTTTGTAAGTAGGTAACCAGAGTCATGGGTGAACACACCTCAAAGTTTTTCTGCCATTCTCTCTCTCGCTTTGCTTTCTCTGCTGCCTCGATTTCTTCCTCTCTTGCCCTTTTCCTAGTTAATTGAGAAAAATCAATGACATTCTGATTGAATGCTGTTTCAATGGTGAAAACTGTGATAACATTTTGATCAGATATTAGAATCACCATTTACACAATGTGTACATTTGAATAAAAAAGGAGTGAAGGCAGGTAAACAAGTGTTACAGTTAAGTGGTTGTGAATATACTGTGTGTCATTTACCTTTCATGCATGTCCTTTGCTTCCCTTTCCTTCCTCTTGATTTCAAGCTCTGCAAACAGCTTCATGGTCTGTTTGTAAACTGCTTGCCTGAACTGGAAAAAGAAAAATCATGTATAACCCATATGGTAATGGACATGACAAATACTTGCTATATTAACATTTTTAAATACCTATTTGTCTAAAATAATCAAACTGAGGATGTTTGGGTAATAAAAAGACATCACAAATATTGTATTTTAAGAAAATGTTTGAAAAGCCACAGTACATTTTCACTTTCAAATGTTTTAGTCTTTTTTTTACAATTACCTTACAATGTAATTTTGAGTTAAGTATTTTCAGCACTCTGCAAGTATGTATTTCTGTAACTTTGACTTACCAATTCAGGGTCGTCCTCCTCCACATCCAATGGTTTCCCTTCCTTCTTCAACTGTTTCTTCTTCTCCTTTACCTGTTGGAAGTGCAGAATGGCAGAAAATAAAAGTTTGACCAAAAAATTTAGATCAGGAGGGCTGAGTAACATGTCTAGAATGTTTGAAAGCTATGGTAATGTGTTGAACACTCACCATATGCTCCACATATTCCTTTCCTGCATGGATCACATCTAAGGCTCTCTTCTTCTGTTCCGGGTCCAGTAAGAGTTTGTATGCCTTGTCCACAGCTAGAACATGGCGAGACATTCAGGTGAAATGAAACTTCTACATGTTTCTTTTTCATCTAATGAAAAGGTAGAAGTCGAATGTATTATTTTACTGTGCTCGTTAATATCATAAGAAACCACAAACTGGGCAACATGGTGTCAGTTCACAAGTTTAATGACAGCGTATACACCATAAATACTCAGGGATGTAAGGAATTTACCTTCAAAGGCTTTCTGTGCTCTGTCTGGATCATCCTGATTTTTGTCTGGATGGACCAAAATGGACAACTGCACAGTTAGAGAGATCAAATATTAGAAATAAAGAAACAAAAAGCATCATGGCACTATAACATCTGCATGCAAGTCATGTCATCACAGAGAAGACCACAACAAGTTTGTTGTATTGCTCACCGCCCGAAATCTTTTCTTCAATTCGTTATCCGTTGCATCTGGATCAATCTGCAGGACCTAAATGATGTGAACATTGTTCGGTTTATTCTACATACATATCTTAACCGAGGAGTCAAATATGAGATACTTTGCTAAAATCCAATTGTAATGATAGTAATGGTGGCAACATCATCATGCTCTGACCAAGGCTTCACATCAGCAGAATGGTTGTAAATAAAATTCAATCACAAGAGCAACACATGAAATAATAATGGTACCTCCCATTTTTCTCTTATTTATTTTTTGGGGGAAATACAGACAGTGGCAACATTATGTAAGAGAAAACACTAGTACTGAAATTAGAAGTTCTGACCAATTAAATCAGAAATTTGATTTCAATTTCACTTAATTTTATTTTATAACATGGATCAATCATTTTAGTAATTTATTCAGTAAAGATAACAAACACTTTCATAGCTTCTAAGCAGGGTAGCCAAATGATTAGTGAATGTCCAGAGTGTAGCAGCCACTCAATACCATTGTTTTGTTTTTTTTGGCTGGTGAGCGAAGTAAATCTACCAGCGATTTGCATATTTTACCAGCATTTCGCTGGTGCCTGCTTCCAAGATGCGGGGCTCGTTTTTTTACTAATGTCACATCATTATGAATCAATACTTATATTTTTCTTTACATTAATTAACTGACAAAATAACTAATACGTATATTAATAATTAAATTTACCTCAAAGGGATTGAGATTAAAGTAGGATGCGCCAGGCCTGAGCAGTCTGTCAATCTGCTGCTTGGAGGTTAACACGGAGTCTCTCTTCTCAATCTGCTTCACCTGTCAAAAACATATAACGAAAACATTCAAAATACAACCAAATTCAAACTGCAGCTTTCTGGTGATGTTCTTAATATGAGTTACTTTCTTCTGCTAATGTCTAAGTACAGCTAGCATTCAGGAGTGAAAAGCGATAAAACAAAGGTTGCTGTGCATGTTCTCAGGGAGCCTGACCTCATTCGTTTGATAATCATGTGTTGTGACCTTTTTTATTATGCTGTCTGTGCTTGTGACTGGTCAAAACGCAACGTTACACTGCGACTCATAAAGCTGATAGATAGAAGGCTAACAGCACCTGCCTTGACAATAATTAATGTTTATCCAACTGGGATTTAGTTTAAGTGACTTGTGGTTGTTGAGAATAGGAAACTGAAAGTATAGTCGATCTTTGGTGATGTCCTGATAAAACTGGGAAGACTGAGCTGCTCACAAAACATCTCAGTAACGCGTTAGCTTCTTATCATTAGCCGATGCTCATGTATGCGAGGCCTCATAGGTGATAAACACGATAATCGTTAAGTGACCGACTTCAGCCGATGTACGGAGAGAGGCCGACACTTTCAAAACACATAAAGTCTCATGAGTTTTATCGTACCTCCGAGATAAAAGTTTGAAATAATTCATCCGACATATTCTCAGAAGAAGGTTCTCCTCCGGCGGCCGCCATCTTCCCCCTGGTTTACATGTGACGTAGTAGCATCACGTGACCATGCATTGCATACATAGTACAAATCGCTCAAGTTCAATCTGCGCGTGCTCCGTATGTAACGAAAGTATAGCTTTATGAATTAATTTACTTTAAAAATGTGCAATTATCGATTTAACATGGAATAAATAAATAAAAAACACGGTTATGTCAGAAGGGCTATAAAATATGAAAAATCGATCTAATAGCGATGCCAAAATTCAAACTGCTAAATATCTATCCTAAAGGACGGAGAATCAGGGCCTTGTAATGTCTCTTAAAAACGTAGCTTGCCTTATTTTGAAAAACCAGGAAAAAGGATAAACGTCCGCTTCGACATTGGTTCATGCGATTTACGTTTCAAATTAGGCTATTAAATACAGGAAAACGTAGGATTTTGTGTGTTATCACGCACAAAAAGACTGCACTTGTTATGTCATTAAAATTTAACCAAGTGTTATTGTTTTACATCCACATATTTCATCCTGAGAATACCCAGAAGAACCGAGCTGTACATTGTTTTTTTTTTCCTGGCATGATTACAACTATGAGCAGCAGCATCTAGTAACCAGCTGCTATATATCTGTACTGTGCCGTGCATGCAACCAAAGCTCCTTCGACGACTTACTCTAGCAATATTAATGACCTTACGGCTCAGCTGCTTAGAAATTGCTCTTAGCCTGGCTTTTTTTTTTTACATTACATAATTTTACTCAAATAGATATAGAACTAGATCACCTGTATCCACTCAAAAGTTTACCTTTCATTTAACTACGAAGAGGCAGGAGGGCCGATTGTAGTGAACAGGGTTGGCATAGGCTGGCCACTGACATGTTAGTGTGGTTCATCCATCACCCATTATGTTTACATGCCCACCCCCATCTGTTTGACTGGTGAAGAACATGTTTTTCATTTCCTACAGGAACCGCTACTGAACGTAATGACTTCGAGTCATGCAGGGGTTGTCAAGTTATTACCATGATTTTAAAAATGCTGTAATGTTTGTAAATGAAACATAACTAGGTTCATGTTTTTATGTATATAGTTAAAATAAACATAAAGTAAATATGTAAATATGCAAACACACACACATTTACATGGGTAATAAAATGTATTCAACAATCAAGAGCAACAGATCATTTTCCCTTTACAGCAATAGTTCTTTCAACTGGATAAGGAAGCTGCAGTCTGTTGGATGGAGCTCTGGATTCATGACATGTCCATCAACTGCATCCTCCTACGCTTCTGCAGCAAGTGAAAAGACATTAAACATTAAATACAGAAATTTAAAGACTGATGTAAAACATAAGTAGTGTTGTAAATGCACTACTCTTCACACCTCCTGAATTTGCTTACAACTTTCGCTACCAGCTATACTAATCTACTATAATTTCTCACCTGTGCCTTCAGCTGAGCTGTAAACAGGGTAGTCAGCTAGTGTCCCCATGAGTACTGGACCTCAAGTGTACGGTCCAGCATTCTGAGGGATGTGAAACCCTTTGATGGCTCTGGCTTGCAGTTTGTGGAGAACAGCCTGACCTGACTCAGAGCTAGAAAAGGGTCACACAGATAAGGGCAGTTTGTAAGCATGACGATAAAGACTGTATTGTCTTTAAAATGATGCAATACATCTATAATAACTCAAAGACATTATGCCAGATTTGTGACTTAATGTCTAGTTATAATCTAAAACAAACAAACAAAAAAAACTTCTTACAGAATTGACTGGCTCTAGGAAGTAAATAGGTCATAAAGAGACAAATAGGACATCAATTTGTATTTTTAAATGTAGTTATATTTTAAAGTATACTAACATGTTAAGACTTTCTGAGCACTATTTTAGATAATGAACAATCTTACCAATCAGTCCCTTCCATTTGTGTGAACTCATTCACATGGATGCGGGCAGCTCCTTTACTGCCTGGTGACAAGAGGCAACATATAAAGACAGTTCTGATATGAGAAAATGTAAAAAGGACACTCCAGCATTTGATGGCACTTCAATGTGAACTAAAGTGTGTGTCAATTGATAAAATAAGCTTTCTGCTGTAATACTGCACTCCCTATTTCAGTCTTACCTGTGCAATCTAAATACTCTAGCCCGTTTACTGCCATCTTGTGGCGCTGAAGGGTACAGACATCAGTTGAGGCATAGCCATTGTTCCATCATCAGCCAATTTCACCAATATCTAATTCACCATCCCCACTGCCATTTCAATACATTAAAAATCAGCTCCTCTAGTTAATATCTAACTATTAATTAACACATTTGCAGCTCAGAAAAGGAGAAATAAATGCACCGTCGGGTGAAAGAAACAATGGACCACTAGTCATGCTGGTGTGAAAACTGCTACCTCTAGTGGTGTAGGAGGGGAAATGTCCACCACCACCCTCCATTCACAGAATGTGTGCAGACAGCGGAGGTGATTTTTGGTGCAGTGAGCCAAGACAGACAACAGGTGTTTGCAGGGTTTTGGAGTTTATGGCGCTTACCAAATCCTTGACTGTCTGCCTTCTGGCTGACAAATCCAGTCTAATGAAACAGCCATTTGGCTCTTGAAATTGTTCATGACTGTTGGCTTAAGGGGAAAAATGCACTAACACTGAAGGAAATATGTGCTGCTCATGTGTTCTCTAAACCCCAGAAACATGCTGGTAACACAATTTTAATGTTTCCAATGATTCTTCAGTCAACTTTAGTGACTTGTGTTCTTCATAGCCTTGGTGGAAACACTCTTACTGAATTTAAAAAAAATAAAAAAATAAAAATAAAAAGCTTGATTCGTTGACAGTATAAGGAAACAATAAAAAGAACAAAATATAATTACGGCTAGTGTTTCTCCAGTGATTACAATTAGCTACAGGAGAGGAGACAGTACTCTGTGCAAGGCTAGCTCACCCTTGAGTACCGTTCAGGTGAGTTCCTCATTCTAGTGGTGCCGCTCTCAATGCTTCTCCACCTAGGCAGGTTGGAATAAGAGGACAGACACATGAAACAAAATACAATGATACCATGGTACCAAAAGGCAGATGTTAAAAACACACTTCTAAATGGTAAAAACAAATTCTGACTGGTGATCACTTGCTAAGAATTTTAACCCTTTGGATGGTCAGATCCTTGGTGTCTTCCAATGGAGAGAACAGATGGCT